ATTTAGAACCCTTGTTTCTGATCCTTACCTCCCATGCTGCCCTCCCTTTATTCAGTATGTGCGTTTCCTCCCCACTAATTGCATATGAATCAGAGAGCCATCAGCTGCTTCCATTGTCACCGAATTTGGATCATGTGACAGACACAGTGGCAGTCGTCTGCACTGTATTTCATTTTACCTCAGGAATCAAGATCTAAAACTACCAGAAATGGTTATTACTAAAAAACCGAGGATGCAATTTGTGACATCGTAGCCCCACCTGCTGGATGATTCCATGCTTCTAGAGCTATTTCATTCTTTGTCATATTTTGTGTATCATAATTTCAGTGATAGCTTTATTTCTACAGTTCCTCCTGCTCATCCTCCCCAAGGAGAAAGCCTTTTCAGTAGGCTCAGTTTAGGTGGCTGGCAAGTAAAATTTCCTATCTGTTGCAAGAGTATCTCCTATTTATAATGGTTATTCAGTTATTTATGTACAAAGAAACATTTATATAAGGTACTTTAAGAAAGGAAGTTATTTTTCTGTTTCTTAAAAAGGAGTTCTGGCCAGGCACAGTGACTCATGCCTGTAATCCCAGCACTTTGGGAGGCCAAGGTGGGAGGATCATGAGGTCAGGAGTTCAAGACCAGCCTGGACAATATGGTGAAACCCCCTCTCTACTAAAAAATATGAAAATTAGCTGGGCATGGTAGCACACAACTGTAGTTCCACCTACTTGGGAGGCTGAGGCAGGGGAATCACTGGAACCTGGGAGGTGGAGGTTACAGTGAGCCAGGATCATGCCATTGCATTCCAGCCTGGGCAACAGAGAGACTCTGTCTCAAAAAAAAATAGTTCTGTTCTTTTTAAAGTGGAATCTGACAGGATCTTTTGTTTCTAAGAGGTTTCATTCCTTTTCTTAAGCAAAAACTACAGCTTGGGGTTTTTTAAACATGCAGTGAATGTTTTGACCAAATATATATAATTTTACTTCCAGTGTTTTAACAATGACTTTTCTAAGTGGAAGACCCTAGTAGAAATTGACATGTCCTAGTCAGTGACGTGGAGTGAGAACTTACCTTAGTACAAATCCCACTGCTAGCTACTAAGAAGCTTTATCGGGTTTAATGGGGAAAAGCCTTGTACTGATACATATTATACATATGTTTGCATGTAATGTGTACTTGTGTACATAGCATGTACTTATACATATTATATGCATATTACATGTGTGGACGGAGTCATGTGTATCCTGACTTTAATGCTTCAGTGCTCATATCTAAGGTGTTCCTTTGAGCTCTGAGGTGATGTGCATGAAAATTTTAGTCAGCTCCTGGGTGACCCAGGTTAAATATGAGGGCTCTGGTGTAAAGCAAGGACCATACTGCATCTGAGGGCTTCCCTGTGTCCCTGGGATTGGTCTCCACATACTAACAGTCAAGTGGAGAGAAGGAAGCTGGATGGAATGAGGAGGAGGACTCAGGACTGACCCCTCTTCCAAACACCACAGAGTTCCTGTGTATATACAGAGCCTCTGTACACATTACAGGATTCTCCCTGGTCCTATTGGAGGAATGGCTGCCATGGCTTTTTTTATGATCCTTGCAGATATAGCTCTGCTATTACATCGTGGGTGTTCAACACGTCAGTCAGACTGGGTATGGGTTCCTTACAGAGCAGGGCCTTGTCTCATTTAACAGCTGCTTCACTCCGCTCATTGCTTCTCTCTACTGGATCTTAACAAATGTTTGTTGGATTAAATTATAGATCATAGATGATGAAATGATACTTAGTATACATAGTCTTGTGGTATTATTAAAACAGATTTTTTTCTTTTCAGCAAACCATTCCTCAGGCAACTGCAGCAAAATATCCCCGGACCATTCATCCTGAAAGTAGTGCCTCAGCTTCTAGATCACTTGGAACCAGATCAGCTCACACCCAGTCTCTCACAAGTGTTCAGTCCATAAAAGTGGTTGACTGAAGTGAATATGCCCATAGTGGGGTCTTTTAATTCCTCTGGACTTACCAAGGGTTAGAAGTCTTTTGTTTTTAACTTTCCATATTGTTAGAACATCATGGATACATCATGTTCATCTGTTCAGAATTACAAGAGGCTTTTTCATGCTCTACCATGCTTTGTAACTATATGTAGAAATTATTTTAATGTTATTTTTTATTTAAGTAATTAAGTAAAACTTTTTTAAATTAAAAAAGAAACTGGACTTTATTTTTTAATATGTTTAGCCTGTTGCTGATTATATCATCAAAGTATATAAATTTTTTTCACTATTTATAAAACACTAAATCATTTCCAATGTTACACAGCTGTAATTCACTCAAAGTGTTGAGAGGGAACCTTACTTAAACTATTAAGAACTAGTAGAAACTGTGATATTTTTATTTTCAATTTAAAAAGTTAAAGGCCGAGTGTAATAATGATTTTTTTTCTTTTTTTTTTTTTTTTTGAGACAGAGTCTTGCTTGTCACCCAGGCTGGAATGCAGTGGTGTTACCTCAGCTCACTGCCTCCTTCTCCCATGGTCAAGTGATTCTCCTGCCTCAGCCTCCCAAGTAGCTGGGATTACAAATGCCAGCCACCACGCCTGGCTAATTTTTGTATCTTTTTCAGTAGAGTTGAGGTTTTACCATGTTGGCCAGGCTGGTTCCGAACTCCTGACCTCAAGTGATCCTCCCGCCCTAGGCTCCCAAAGTGCTGGGATTACAGGCATGAGCCACTATACCCAGCCTCAAGTTTTCTGTGGCTTTTGTCTGTTAGTCTTCATTTTTCCAGGACTCTGACAGTTGACAATAGATGGAAATGGCAACACCTATGTTTAATGCCAAAAGGGAAAACATTTTTAATGCTAGAACAGAGTTACTGAAGTATCAGAAATTTCCTGTTAGAATGATCCTGTTTCTGGTATTCTTTCTCACCTTATTTGAAACTCTGCAGCACTGAACCGACATTGTTCCCCCTAAAAATCTAAACACTGTTCTGTGATGATATAGCCTTGTGCAACTCAGCAAACCTAGGCCTGGGCAGAAATTGTTCAATGGCTGGCCAATACAAAGAAACCATCTGGGCAGAACTGATTTAGGTGAACAAGACCTGGCTTCTAATGGTTTTATTGCTGACTGTGTGGGCCACACAATTTAAATGACTCTCTGGATCCTCATCTGTTTACCTACTATTATTTCACAAGTACTTATGTAATACATAAAAATGAGCAGGTTCTAAAGAGTCTGTCCAGGACCTCAATTTCCATATCTTTAACAGAGTGGATGGACTTAATCATCTGTAGCCTCTTCTAATTTGAATATAAATTCTCTGCACTTTTATTATAGGAAATAGGTTTTCTTGCTGCCTCACATGTTCACAGGACATTGGAGAATAAATGTGATACAGGCAAATAGAATCCCATTTTCTAATGGGGCCCATTAAGGCCTTTCTGAATTATTATCAGGCTGTTTCTTAAAGAGTATTAGCTATTTACACAACACTTGTTCTGGGTTCTGGCCCAACTACCATTGTGGCAAACAGCTCCACCCTTCATGGGCTTCAGCAAGCTTTTCATGAACACAAACCACCAGCACCTCATCTCGCACCCTTTCTGTGTGCATGCTCTTCCCGGGCTTCTCCGTTCATTCCCAGTTTTGTTGGGAGAGTACGGGCTCCACTGGGGAGCCCACTCATGCAACCCAAAATTAACACCCACATTGTGGTAAACAGACCAATTCTTCCTTCCTTCTCCCCTGTATGAATTGTCCTGAGATGTACTAGTACGTCGTGTCTCTCAGAATAAAGTAGCCCATGATTAAATAATCAGTTATGCTTGTACCAAGTACCAAGTGGTGGTGGCAACTTTGGTAATTCACTTTGTCCTCCTCATTCTCCCTCCTTCCCTGGACAACTCCCCTTTTCCTCCACTCCTGCTTCCCTATACGTACACTTCTGAAAAGGTTGTTGCACGTAAACGTCGGCCTTAAGCTCCACTTTTTGAGGAATCTAGACTACAACTAGGAATGGTTTTCAGTATTCAAGCTAAAACAATATGGACAAACTAAAGTGAATATTATGAATGTTGTGATTAAGAATATTATAAACATCTTTTTAAGCTTTAAGCTCTAGAAATGTACGTTGTCTAAAGCACCAAGCAATTAATGTTGGCCTAAGTTAATGTAAATTTAACAAACACTTTACACAGTTGAGTATGTATTCATATTTGTTTATTTTCACATAAAGAGGTTACCCCAATCTGGTGGGGAGCAGCGATAGGTCAGTGGAAACTGGCCATACTGAAGAACAGATGGGATAAGACTTCTCAATACATTTTTGAAAAATGTTTTGGATGCATGTGAATCTATTACCTGTTTTAAACATTCATAATATTAAGTCGGCCATTTACAATCACTATGAGACAAAGACATAAAACTACAAATTCATGATAGAATAACTGGATTGAAATTGTTCATGATTTTATTATGTGCCTTGTAAATTTAGAGTCAGAATCTGAGAACGGAGTCTTAAATTCTAATGAATAGGTAACATAAACTGACACAAATTCATACTTGATTTTACATTTATTTCATAACTCTCAGGTTTCAAAAATAATGCATGTTTGTTGTGAAGAAATTGGAATTTGCCCAAAAGTACAAGGAAAGTAATAATCTGTAATTAATTACAACGCCAAGAGATTTTTTTTAAAAATTGGTGTACATACTTCTGGTCTTTTCGAAGTAATATATTACACATTATGTGTGATTTAAAGTCAACAATGACTGTAAATTTCCAAACCCAGTTTCTCTTACTGAAACAGTTGATCTCCATACTGTGGGCATGAGGCTAGCTAGGCATTTCACAGGCATTTTCCCTTCATCTTCACTCCAGTCCTATGGATTGAATAGACATTTGTCCCACTTTATAGGAAAGTGAAGCTCTAAGAACTTAAATATTAACATGCTCAAAGAGTCACATCTAATAAGTGGCAAAACCAAGTTCACAACCATATCCGTCTATCGTAAAAACCATTGGTTTTTTGCTGTACCATGATGCTGCTTCCATGAGTTTAAAAAAAAAAAAAAAAAGACAGCAAAACCCTCCTAGATTATCTTATTACATGAGTTCCATCAAATGACAGAAATGGGAAAATCATATACAACTTGCCCTCAACAAAAAAAACTGTTTGACTTTTCAGTGGTTGAAAAGTATCATGGTATTACTCTTCTTTCATCTGTTAGAGTACCCTATCACCGCCATCACCAGAGCTGGAAATCAATGCTACTGCCTACTGCTGGAAGAAATTTATGGCATTAAAAGAACTGAATGCTGAGTGGAAAATCATGTAAATACAATTTCTTTAGGCATTTATGAAACTACACATTTCTTGGAGTTTGAGTCAGTTTTGCTTTTGAAATGACGAGTCTTTTCTGGAAAAAATAAGATGACATTTATTAATACCTAACATTTTGAAAGCACTTACTTCGTACCAGGCACTATTGCTCATTAAATCCCACAACAGTCTTTTGAAGTAAACATTTTTATTTTCTTTCCTAGTTAATAAATGAGAAGATTGTCACAGGGAGGTCACAGAGCTTGCTCAAGATTTACAACCAGTCAGCTTTGGAGTTCAAGAGTGAACTCACACAGGCTTGCATCAGGACACATACCCTTAGCCAGTTCAGTGGGCTGCATCTTCGTCTTCTCCAAGGGTTCTTTTGAAACCTCTTTCAGGGGAAGAATACATTTAACCCTTTACCCATTTAGAAAAAAAGTACAGCTCACTGCCAGGGCTTCAGCTTTACATAAATACACTCTTTGAGGCGGAAGTAAATCTGACTGATTTTCAATGTGAAAAATATAAAAACTGTTCTTGGAGTTATTTCTAAACAGAACTAACATCAGGGTAGTCTGAATCATGCGAATTGTCAATTTCTGAAAAACTGGGTTCACTGAATGAATCTTCAGCCGACAATTGTTTGAGAATGATGTTAACATCACATGTAGGAATGCTATATTTTCTAGGACTTAACATTTTCAACAATCAAGAGTTTCCATATTTTGTACATGGAAATGCCACTACTAAAAACAGAATGCTACAAGTAGAATGATGTCTTTTGTTTCCAAAGTCAATATACTACAGCAATGCAAAAATAATAATAAAAGTAAGATAATTCATGGCACAGTTTCCTCAGGGGAAATGCTGCAAGCACCGCTGGTGAGTATTCTCGGGGCAAATGGGAACAGGGTTAAGAGAAAAGTTCCAATCGTATGAGATAATGTGATGAAAAGTAGGTATCCACACACTGTTCCTTGTACCTACTACTGCTGGAAACTACTAGATCACTCAGTGTTCATTCATTTATCTTCTTGCTCTAGGTAAAACTGCTTCGTAGAAATAATGGCAGATGTTCCTACATTTTGCTTGAATGCTTGCTATTATATGAGAGCTACAACACCTCCTAATTTATTGATAAGTTTTTAAAGCATCTTTCCTGACAATATAGTCAGTCATTTTGGCAGAGTGATTTTTAGCAATAACCTCAGGTGGCCTGTCTGCTCCTTTTGTTCCACCTAGAGAAAACATTTTCAGATCCATTAACCTGTGGTTTTTCAACGGGCAAAATGGCATTTTGAGCAAGACAACTTTTATTGGTGGAGAACAATCCTATAACTGTATGGGATGGTTTAGCACTTCTGCCCCATCCCTCCTCCTCCGACCACACGTACACATGAGCAAAAACACTCCCACAGTTCTTCAAATGCCCAGCAGGGGGATGACATAGAACTACCAGGCTGACAGGTGACCAGTATTCACTGGATCATTCCCCAGAGAAGAAGCTGCTGACAGCTTACAAGCCCCTTGCATAGCTCCATACTCCGTGTGAGCCACAGCTAACACCACGCTGGGACTGCAGCTGGTCAGGATGGTGTTTCTGTAGACTGCTCCCTGACATTTTAAGGGAGAAAGAATTTCTGTTGAAACTGTCACTTACCAGCTAGTTTGGGGAAACCTGCGCATACCAGCTCTTCCTACAGGTGCTTGGCCGGATCAGCCTGAGTCGTCAGGGTCCCATGTAGCCAGATAAGTAGAGCCCTGTGGCCATGTTAACGGAAGCTTTCATTTCCCGCACCAAGCACAAGAGGTCCAAGGTAAAACACCATGAGCTGCTATCTCTTTCCATTGTAATCTCAATTCCAACTAAACTTTCTGAATGACTGTGGTTGCAAGTCCGTTCCTCTTCGCATAAAGCCCTTCCCATTGCCCTCACTGTACTGCCTTGTGGTGACCAGCATTTGCATGCCCTCCAGCCCTTGCCATGATGCACCTGCTGTGCTTGACACACACCCAAAGGAGTGTACAAGAGAGGACAGTTGTAGTGCCTGCCCAGTGGTAACAGTTTTGATGAGATGTGCAACTTCTCACAGACCAATGCTCCTCAAACTCACAGTGCTTCTTTCACCTGAGTATCTTACTAAAATGTAGGTTCAGGTTCAGTAGATCTGGGGTAAGAATCCATGCATTCACCAACTCTCGGGTGCTGCCACTAATGCTGCTCTATGTTCACCACTCTGAGCTGCAAGCATGCACGGTTCATTCTGCCACTCCAGTTTCAAGGAAGCTACTCTGATGGAAGTTTGCATCCCTGGGCCAGGATTATTCATTTGACAAATAATCACTGGATAACTCAGCCTGGAGGGGTGTCTGGGAAGTACTGGGACTGGGAACCACAAAGCCACTGTGGCTCCCAACAGGAGTTCAGTTACCAACACACTACAGACTCCTTGCTATGAGGGAGAGTGTGCAGGAGCAGACATGCTGTGCAAGGAAAGAGGCTTAGCTCTGCGGGGGCAAGGGAGACGTTCACTGGACAGACTGTTAGAGAGGCGGGCATTTCAGGGAGAGGAACTGCACGCTTCCAGAATGTACTCCTGGGCAGGTCCTCTGTTCCTTTCCTAATCTTGCTCTTGATACACTAATTTTTCTTAAATACCATCATGAACCTGTTACTTCTTTACTCAAAAGCCCACAAACTCCCTGGTGCTAGTAACCTTACCCTAGATCACAACATAATTGAATTGTAAATGTCATTGTTATTGTGCCGACTAGATTATAAACTCCTTCGAACATGCAAGGCTTAGAGAGCTGATGTATGTATCCCTCATCCGGCAGAGATAAACAATCCAGGCCCTCCGTAAAGGTTTCATCGAAACACCTTAAAATCCCCCTTATCCTATTGCCAAGTACTCTGAAGGTACACTGTATTTTCAAGTCATCTCTTCAGGTCAAGATAGAGTTCCAGGAGGCAACTCAGTTTTCCTAAGACTTCACAGAACACTATAAGCCTTATTCATGACAAAAAAGAAATCTTAACAATAAAAAATCTTTTCTAGTTAGAAACTAGCTAGTATTCAATGTTTTCAATACCTTATCTTCTATCTCTCACATGAAAATGTATCCTAAGCATGAGCAATACACAGTCCCATAATTTACTTGTATATGGTATAAACAGCGTGTGCTCAAGGGCTGTGCTTCTGCCATCCCCAGTTCCCAGCAATCACGAATACAAATCTATCCCTGAGCAGGGACACCTTCTCGTCTTAGGATGTCCACGAGAGGGCACTGCTCTGAATAGAAAACTTGGCCAAGAAACATATTTGCTTCATTGATTATTTTATTTTTTATTTATTTATGTTTGAGACGGAGTCTGCCTCTGTCACCAGGTTGGAGTGCAGTGGCGTGATCTCGGCTCACTGCAACCTCCACCTCCCGGTTCAAGCAATTCTCCTACCTCAGCCTCCCCAGGAGCTGGGACTACAGACTCACGCCACTATGCCCAGCTAATTTTTATATTTTTAGTAGAGATGGAGTTTTACCATGTGGGCCAGATCTCGATCTCTTGACCTTGTGATCCGCCTGCCTCAAAGTACTGGGATTACAGGCATGAGCCACTGTGCCCGGCTGCTTACTTGTTGAAGCTAATTAGTTGATTAATGCCAAGCAAAATTTCTGTATTTCCTAGGTTTCGGTCTAACCACAAAAAAGCAAAACTAAGGAATCCAGCTGATCTGACCTCACTAATTCTGACAGCTTGAGTCCAGCTGAAATGATTTCATTGCTTGGAATCATCTAGGCAAGAAAGCCCTGAGTCTCATCCCTGTGTCTCTCATGAGACAGCCAAGCCTCCCATAAGGCCTAGTCCTACAAGAACCTCTTCCCCCACACCCACCTGGCTTAAGGAATTCCTCTTTCTGGAGTGCAAACTTAAACAGTGAGACTATTGATTACAGAATAAATCCATTCACCCCAGGACAGTCTCAAGGAACACTAGAAATCAGATTGGCTTCCCACTGGCACACCAACTGTTAAATCCTTGCTTCCTTAGTGACTGTCCAGTGGGAACCTTAATTTCTTTCTAAATGCCACATGTTTGATATGGCTCAATAAACATAATAATCTCTTGCAGACTTCAGTTTACTGCAGACCATGAGTGTTCACTTTTCTGCAAATCTTAACGTCCAATCACTGGTGTGGGCCTAAGCTAGCAGCCCCTATTCCTGGGCCCCTCGAAGATTGCGGCTTACTGTGAGTGCCATGTACTTTCTTGGAAGACCTCACACCAGGAGGCACTGCTGTTCCTAACAGTGAATTCCTCCTGCCCACATCATCCAGTCTGTACTCACCCGACCACTGCTCCTCTATGGCTCTAATCTGGTCATCTGTAAAGTTCCATGAACGGGCCAGCCTCTGCCACTCATTGGCCTTCAGCTGACGATAAGCCAGGTCCCAAAGGAGTGTGTGAATATGTCTGGTCTCCAAACTATGATCTTGCTTGAATGTCAGAGTAAAGCCTGTCGATGGGTCCCTGATACTCTCGTGATCCTCCTAAAGTGAAAATAGTTGTATCAGAAGATTTCAGATGTGTTCTACTTACTACCTTATTTCACAGTGTATATGTTTTTCAAACATAACCGGTAAAGTGGTAACCGAGACTATGTTTTCGATGCCATCTGTCACTGGATCATGTTTTTGCCATCCAAAATGGAAACAAATGCTTGAAATCAAAAGTTTGGGTACCGTCTGTCTGACATAGGAAATGGGAGGGATTTTGCCTATTGTGTTCCATGCTGCTTAGAATAGAGAATGAGAACAGAGAGGCTGTCTTGGGGAAGGATGTGTCACAACAACAAAACTATCACTATTGGACTTTGCTTGAATCCATCCATACCCCCTTTTCTTCTTTTGTTTATTTGATGTTCTCATATCAAAGCTTCAGTGGGCCCAGACTGGGTGTATCCCTTATAAGATCACATAGCTGGTCCCTCATTCATCCTGCTCTCTGGTAAGCATGAGGAGAGGAAACCAGGAGCCTAGCTCAGGGTGTGACTTGGGGAACAGGTGACCAAGGGGGTGGAGAGGACAGGAGTGGATATCATTTAAAGTCACTGCAGCCAGGTTCAGCCCAACAGCACTATGCCTAGATTGGCGTCTTGTTTTCTGTCTGTGTAAAGGTTTCTTTTGTCTCTTCCGCAGAATCCACCAGAGACCTACAGAATCAAACCAAAAACACTGGAGAAAAATTCCTGAGTGAAAGCAGGAGCACGTCTTCCTAGAACTGCCTCTTGTGCTGATACCTCTTGGGCTCCAGGTAATCCTCCTGCAGAAAGCTGCAAATCAGTTAAGGACATCCAGGACACGTGGCCCACCAAGAAGTCTGGGACTTCCTGTTTACCTCTCCTTTTTCATGTATAGTGACTCTGTTTTTGTCTTTCACTTAAATAAAGGTGTATCTTAATGAAAATATTCTTCACAACAAGATGGGAGTCAAGGCTGGGGCAGGAAATGGATCAAAAGGGTATGGGACCCTGGGTTTCAAAACTAATGAGAAGAACTTGATGGGACAGGCTCATCCCCACCAGGGATCAGCCTGCACCCCTCACGGCACCAGCAATCTCCTCCAGAAAGCTTGACAGGGGAAGCGTAATAAGCTCCTCCTGGGAAGCTTGGCCAAGAAGGGCAAAACCCTCCTCTAGTATCTGAACTTTGTGTACAGAAGTTGGAAGAGGAATGGGAGGTGTGAATTACCCACAATCGTTTCAGAGACTGTAAAAGGCAGGGTCTTCTCCAACCCAGCCTCAGCTTTACTTCCACAGTGCCTAGCTCCCAGGAATTCAAAGGAAGTGAGGTTGAGGATGGGGAGATCTAACAAACTTGGGTGCTGTGGGCCACTTCTCTTTGTCCTTTTCTCCTCATTCCATCTCCTGAAACAATGATGAATCCAGCAAGATCCAAAGCCTAAACGTCACGAGGGAAAGGGAAGAACACAAAATGCTTCTGCGTTTATCTTTGTGCGGTAACATTTTTAGTTCTTCAAGAAACTTACATGGTTTTGCATTTCGGGATTGGGCTGGGTGGTCCCTCAGGCTTCCATCGAAAAGGGCAGGAGACTTGGAAAGCCTAGGTCTTTTTCAGCAGTCAGTGAAAGCATTAAATAGCTTGCCTGCCAAAGCACTGAACCATTTGCAGGAATAACATGAGCCAGAACTGGTGGAAATTAAAATAACATAAGCCAGATTTTAGGAAGCTCCCATTTGCCTTTGAACCACTGAATTTAATGATGGATGATTGGGTGGTTATGTTAATGGATAAATGGATATAAGAGAGGAAATTTAAATCATCTCTTTAATCCTTTTACTAGGAACCATTTATATTAGGCAGGATATAAACTTGTTCAATGAACAAAGAGAATTTAAAATAATAAATGCATTTGGTTAAAAAAATTGAAAAATGTATCTTAAAAGACAAATATTTCTCCAACTCCAGACCCCAGGACCCCAGTTGTCACCAGAGTAAACAACTCTTACCATTTCTGGGGGGTCTCCTTTAGCTATATTTATGTATTACATATGGTTTTCAAAGTTTACCTAACTCTTATGTCTTAAAGATTCATTAGGAAAGAGGGTGTATTCATTTGGTGGGAAAATAATTTATTCTCATCTACCCAAAAGAATTTTTTTAAAGCTTCCAGGAATTAAAAATAGAACCAATGAATATTTCTATTTCCAAAGAAAATGTGAAAGCAAGTTAAAGAGAAAGAGAAAAGATGGCACTTGGTAAAGTTGTCTTCAATTAAAAAAATGATAATTTAAGAAAATAAGTCTGAGGATAGGAAAAGAGGAGGAGGTAAGGGGAGGAGATGAAAGAACATAGAAAGATGAGGAATGGGAGAGAAGAAAGAGAATTCCAATTGTTAACATTTTTTAAAAAAGTTTTATAAGCAAAGCACTTTTATTTTTGGTTTTACAGGCAAGAAAAGTTGCAAGAAGGATGGCGTGACCTTTAAAAGAATCCATATAGATCAAGACTAGCAAGCTAATTAAACAGAATTGTGAGAGAGAAGGAGATGAGTAAATGCTTTTTGATTTAAGGATTTAAGGGAAATTTCCCAGGATTGGCCAGGTGGACAGCAATCCAGCTTCACAGAAACTCAGGGTGAGCCCCACATGATCAGGACCTGAATTCCGGAGCTAACACATTGGGCCAGGGAACGCCATGCAGCCTAGAATGGAAACAACACGTCACTATAAGTCAAGAATGGTGTCTGGCAGTGCCATTCTTGCCTGAGGGCATAGACGTGAATCTTGCAGGGGAGGGCAGTCTATCGAGAAGCTGCATGGGTAGCGGATATCAGAGGAAATAAAAATGAAAGAACACCAAAAAGAATGACTTACAGACAATGGTTTTTTTGTGTGTTCTCAAGTGAGTAAGGTTTTCATGACTCTCACGGAATACTTAAATGCCAGAAAGCCAGCACAGAGGTGTGTTGAAAACTGCCAAGCCACAGAAAGGAGTTTTTCTTAATCATTCATTAGTGCTCCCGGGAATAGCTCATGGCCAGACTGTGGACAGAGGGCACAACCAGGGCGTCACCCATCAGGGGTTCACATGCCAGGTCCATTAGAGCTGGCATGGACAACACCGCTTGACCCAAGCAAACTCTACGCACTCTCAGTTCTGACATCTGATGTCGGCAAAGGAAGAGGCAGCTACTCATTCCATGAATGGGGGCAGCACAAAACAGAAGGCACAGTTTTAACTGTACTGACCAGGGCTCTGCTCATTAGAGCAAAGTATGACGCAGCCCCCACATTGCCCCTCAAGAAGATGGGTGCTGCCAGGAGAGCCTCCACTGTGCTGGGCTCGTCCTTCCTTACCTCTCTCCAGGCGTAGTATCTCTCTGCTTTAATGAGCATGTCCACCACGAGGCTATGGTTGTCCTGGAGGCCACAGCCAGGGCAGTCTTTCCTTGCTAAAATGTAAAAAAGGAAAAAAGAAAAAAAAAAATCAGGCGGTATGGCCCAGTGATTAGGAGCTCTGGTTTTGGAACATGGGGAACTGGGTTCAAATCTTGATTCTACCACCCCATGCTGTGTTAACTTAGGCCAGTCCTTTTCTCTTTGGGTCTTTATAACTACCGCATAGTGGAGTGGTCAGGGGTAAACGTGATCACACATATAAAGCCTTTAGAACATATGCTAATAACGCTGAATATTTCCTAGCCTCTTCTGCAGTTAGGTATGTGACCTAAGTTCTGGCCAATGGTCTGTAAATAGAAGTGGGACATGCAACTTCTGGGAAGTATCTTTAAACAGAAGAGGGATGAATGGTATTTTCCTTCCTTTCTTCTTCCTCCTGAGTGGAATGCTGACATGATGGCAGGAGCCTGAACAGCCACTTTAGACCAGGAGGTAGAAGCTATGTTTTGAGGAGCATTGAGTAATAAGACAGAAAAGGGCTGGATTTTATTACAAATAAAATATCAGTAATGGCAACTCTGGTCATTCATAGCTCACTGGACCCACATCTAGAATGTTTTTCCATTATACCATACTGCCTCCAACCAAGGGTGAGAGGTTTGAATCTTAACCAAATGGAATGATCATCAAGGGCTGTTCTGGACATAATTTTGGGAATGCTCTGCCTGGAGCCTGCGTGGTATCTTAGACAAATTACAAAAAGCTACACTTTTCTCAAGGTGGACAGAGCTTAAAGCCAGGGCACACAGCTTTGTAAGCAGAATCCCCTGGAGTTCATACAGTGTACAACTTCTACATCTAAACATTTTTCCCTGAGCAAAGGATGGTGGTTCTCATTTGCTTTTCAAGTGACCCATGAAGAATTTGCTTGGAAAACAATTAAAATTAATGGTCAGAAATGACCCAAGAAGAAGTTCCAATCTTAGGAACCTGTGTTTCTACCCTTATGGATCCAGAAATACATCCCAAGTATTATCTTACATGGTTAGATATTTGCAACAAGTGCAAATCCCACCAGTGTAAATGATTTGGTTCTTAGTCTAGGCGCTAAGACCCAGGCCAGCAGAAAAATTAGGGCTGAAAGTAATCAGCCTCTAATCAAAAGAGACAGTAATGAAATTAGAAAGACCTGCATTTTGCAGGCATTTAGCAAGCCTCTAATTGCATGCTGTCTACATTCTGGCTTGTAAAGCCATTTGAATCACTATAATTAGCCTGCTTTGAGAAGGCAGCATTCTGAGAGCCGGAGTTTTCAAATTCATAGGAAAATCTTCCTAGGGAATATACGCTGGAGTAAAAATCCAAACACTTCTGCCCTTAGGGGTTGGGAGGTAGCGGGGATAGAAGGTCCTCTGAGAGCTCTGCAACACCTCAGGCCAAAAGGACCAGCAGAGAACAAGCTGCTGGGAGAGTCAAATTTACACCAAATTTTGGCTCCTTATTTCCTAAGCAGACCCTAGCATGGTCCTAGAAACACTTTTCTTTGACAACAAAACTTGTGGGAGCCAATAGAAAAGATACTTTTTAGTCATTAACTAACTATGTATTGGGTTCCAACTATGTGCCAGACCCTGAAAAGAAAGAAGGGAAATCTGGGGAAATCAAATTATGAGGCCCCACGAACTGTGAGCTCTTGTTTTGAAAACAAAGTCAACTGGTAGCATTGACTGTGTTCACTGGAATATCTACTCCACTGAGCACCAGGGGCCCCACATCAATCCCTGCCTAATGCTATAGATTTTCTACCCACAGAATGGTCTTCAGGGTATTAAGTGTTCATGAAAAACTAGAACAAATTACAAAAAGATGACATTAGAAAATACCAATGGTAAATGTTAAACCAAGTTAACCAGGCAGTGAAAGGGGTGGAATGCTACAGAAGTGATAAAATATGGGTGGCTGTGTGTTCCTTCCTTACGCTTTTCTGTGTGTTCTAAATTGTCCACAGTGGGCCTGTGTTACTTTTATGATAAGAAAAAGAAAAGTTAATTTTAGAAACTGACACACAGAGAAAAGGAAAATAACATATAAATACTTTAGATTCTACGCATGTAAAATGGATGATTCTGAACTAGAGTAGGGTGGACTCAGGCTTCCACTGTGAATTAGAGAGGTGCTAGCTATTGAACTATGTGGGTAAAAATAAGGAAGGGAAAACTGCAAGCTTCGGAAGTAGTCATCTTTGCTGACAATTGTAGCAAAGCACCAGATGACAGAGCAGCCACTACTTGGCTTTGAAGCCAGCTCTGCCTCTTACTATGCATATGACCCAACATCCATCGATGGATGAATGAACAAACAAAATGTGGCATAGACATACAATGAAATGTTATTCAGCCTTAAGAAGGAATGAAATTCTGACACATGCTACAACATAGATAAACCTTGAAGACGTTACGCTAAGTGAACTAAGCCAGTCACAAAAAGGCAAATACCATGTGATTCCACTTATATGAGATACTTAAGAGTGGCCAAATTCACAGAAACAGAAAGTAGACTTTCTGTTTCCCAGGGACTGGCAGAAGGAAGAAATGGGGAGTTATTGAACAAGTATAAAGTTTCACTTTTGCAAGATGAAAATGTTTTGGAGACTGATTGCATAACAATGTGAACATACTTAATCATACTGAACTTAAAAATGGGTAAGACAGTGCATTTTATATATCTGGACTTTACCACAATTTTTTTAATTTAAAAAAACAAGTTTAGACGTATGTAAAGTCATTCATTGCAGCTCTGTTTGTAAAAGCAAAACTTTAGGAACAACTTAAATGTCCATAAATTGAGGAGTAGTTGAACAAATTGTGATATGTCTGTGCTATGCTATACTATGCAGCTGTAAAAAAAGAAGAAGAAACTCTCCATGTACTAATATGCAAAGATCTCCACTTAATAATGCTAAAAATGCTAAATGCAGAACAGTATGCTCGTTATGGGTATGCCATCGGTGTCTAAAAAGGATGGAGGAAGGCAGTAAGAGTATAATGTGTTTATGGTTGCTGGCATATGCATATAAAACTCTGGAAGGAACAGAAATAATTTATAGTAATAGATACATATGGCAAGGTAGTATGGTAACCAGACAAGTAGGAATGGGGTGGGTGGGAATTTTTTACTGCTAAACCCTTGCTAGTTATATTCTTTTATTTTTGGACCATATGAATCTATAATTTTTTTTTTTTTTTTTTTGAGACGGAGTTTGCTCGTTACCCAGGCTGGAGTGCAATGGCGCGATCTCGGCTCACTGCAATCTCTGCCTCCCGGGTTCAGAAATTCTCCCACCTCAGCCTCCCAAGTAGCTGAGATTACAGGCATGCGCCACCACACCCAGCTAATTTTTTGTATTTTAAGTAGAGATGGGGTTTCTCCATGTTGGTCAGGCTGATCTCGAACTCCTGACCTCAGGTGATTCACCTGCCTCGGCCTCCCAAAATCCTGAGATTATAGGCGTGAGCCACTCACTGCGCCTGGCAGAATCTATAATCTTTTCAAAAATTTAATGTAGAATTTGAATTTTAAAACCACATAATTGTTATTCAAAGTAAAAATTCTTACTGACATAGCTCAATCAAAACTGGGATATTTTACTGACTATGAAGATACACGGTTTCTCCAGTTCGTGCCCATTTCACAGAGGATATTCCAATGTCGCTGCTCAAGGCTGACAGCCAACAGGAAGGTCTCAGCAACCATCTCAGCTGAATGAAGTCCATTCACTTACCTTGTCAACAGCCTTCAAGTCACAGCCTGCCTTCAGCAGGGTTTCTACCAGTTCCACATTTCCTCGATCAGCAGCTACATGCAGAGGGGTTTGCTGCCTCTGCCATGAAATTAAGGAGGGGAACCAATTTGGATGGTGAAAAGACAAAGGGAAAGTAGAGCCATCCTATTTAGGCTCAAAGGAAAACAGAGGTCGTATGTTTTTAAATGGATATGGGGGCAGTCATGGCAGTATTATTTGCAATAGTGAAAAACGGAAAGGAAATTACATGTTTAACATGGAGACTCATTACATAAATTATGATACATCTACATATTAGAATAATAGGCAACCATGAAAAATTATTTTTAAAAAATGATTTCAATACTAGGTACCTGAAGTAGTCAAATGTATAGAGACAGAAAGTTAAATGGTGGTTACCAGGAGCTGGAGGAGGAGGAAATGGGAAATTACTGTTTAATAGATATGGAATTTCAGTTTGGGAAGATGGAAAATGTTCTGTAGATGGATGGTGGTGATGTTATACCGCAATGAATGTAAGTAATGCCACTGAACTGGACACTTAAGATGGTTAAAGTGATAGATTTTGTTATGTGTACTTTACTACAATAAAAATAATTTCAAAGTTTTTTTGAAAATAAAAAAATGCTTTTGATATAATGTTTGAAACTTTAGGAAATAATACTATCTACTTGAGCTTGATTTAATTAAAATACATATAGAGAAAGAAAATACAGTACATAAAAATGTTAATGCTAAGGTCTAGATGAATGGATTAGAGTTTATTTTTATTGCCTTCTTAATGCACTTCTCTGTTCTCTAAATTTTCTACGTTATAATGTATAAAGGAGTACAAGCCTTCTAATTTCCTTCTGGAGTAATCATTTTCCTATCAAGAGGATAAGAGTTTCAAAAGAAATATCTGAAATCACAGGAAAATCACCTATCTTAACCTCTCACCAAGAGGAATGCAGGTGTGAAGATATTTCTAAAATATTAGGGCAGAGGGGAGCCTTAGATGTGATCTAGTCCAACTCCTGAGCCAAAAATGGGAAGCGGCTACCCCAGGGTCACAGAGGTGGGCAATGGCATGTGGACCACTACTCTTCCCACCAGAGCACAGGGCCAACATGCTGGAGATGCCACCAAAAGGGATTTATTTATTTATTTGTTTTCTTAGAGACAGTTTCTTACTCTGTCACTCAGACTGGAGTGCAGGAGCGTGATAATAGGTCACTGTAACCTCAAACCCCTGGGCTCAAGCAATCCTCCCTTCTCAGTTTACTGAGGAGCTGGGACTACAGGGTCTGCTAATTTTTCTTTTCTTTCTTTCTTTCTTTCTTTTTTTTTTTTGTAGAGATGAAGTCTCACTATATTGCCCAAGCTGGTTTCAAACTCCTGGCCTCAGGTGATCCTCCTATCTTGGCCTCACAAAATGTTGAGATTACAGGCATGACCCAACACACCTGGCCTCCAAAAAGCATTTCCTAAAGGTTCACCTTCAAATGGCAGTGTGTCTAGGTGTTTGTCATTCAAGACGTTCCACTTATACTGACCAACCTATCAAAGATTGTACTGTACCTCCATGGAACAAACGCGGAAATGGAATCTATCAAGTCCAACAAAACCCATTTTAACAACACTGCTACAAGTCTAGAAGGCAGGAAATGCACTAAAACATTAACAGGAGTTATCTTTCTTTGCTGGGGACTTCAAACACATTCAGTGTTTTTAGCTTATATATTTTTAAATTTTACATACATATTTTATATTTAAAATATAAATGTTCCTATTTTATGTGTGTATTATTGGTCTAATAAAAAAATTGAAGTGATAAAGTCTGGTTCTGTAAAAGGATAAAAACCCTAATAAACGCTCCTTCCCTAGTGTTATTTACTGGCATCTAGCCAGTTCTGTCAAAACCAGTATCACATGAGAGCACAAGGCTCTGTTTCTCTAGCAAAGATTTTGCCCATTGGGAAAGATTTTAGATATTAATATAGTTGAATACATAAGTATATTTAATAACAAGAGGAGATTTTTTTTTTCCCCAAAAAACTTTTGGGATAGGTAAACGCAGGGGAGGAGGCTAGGTTCCCTGGAGAAGGGAAGGGACAGAAGTCCAGGTAAATCTTCATTCAGCTCAGAGCAAAACTTAGCTCATAGGTGGGAACTGGAGGAGACTGCAGAGGTAGGACTCAATGCTCTGGTTTCACAGTGCATTAGGAGGATATGCAGGCATGCCCACTGCACGGTGGCTCCTCCCTAAGCCGGAGGGGCACCGCAGAGGCTTCTCTGGGGAGAGGCAGCCAGGAGAACTCATCCGGCCTCAGGACCCCAGAAAGGCTGCTCTTCTCACTCCCCTACATCTCCTGGAAGAAGGCAGGCCAGCCCCAGAAGAGCCCCAGAGAGCAGGCTCATCCAGTGTCCACCCCCATTCTCTTCGTGATTCCACTGTGGCTTTCCTGCTTCCAGCCAGTGATGGATTGCTTTAATGAGTCATTTGACTCTGCTCCAGTTGACTGAACTTGTGGTGATTTTTCTTTTATTCCAAGAGGTCTCTTTTGCCTTTAGGCAAAGAGAAGACACATTTACTGTCTTTAATATAGAAACAAAGCTTCCTTCTTACGGGGTGGGGAAAGGCTCCCTGCCAAGTACAATATTTCACTCTGGAGGAGTGGTTTTTTTATTTAAAGAGCCTCCGGCCATTTAGCTCTGAGCTACTGTTTTTCTATCAAAAGTGCTGGGCCTGTTAAAAATGAAGGATTTAATCACGCACTGGCTGAACTCCAGTTGTGTGGCTGAGAAAGACAAAAGTATGGCATGGGGATGCAGTGGGACTTACAGAAGGAGAAGGATAAAAAGGATGCACATATTCCTCCCAGGAATTTTTAGGTACCTTGAACTTGATCAGAACTCCCCATAAACACACACTGTGTTGAAACATAAGAAAATAGACCCTCCCTGCTCTGATTTGCCTGGCTTACCTGATTTAAGACGTCAATATCTTGCTGTGCACTTAATACGCTGTTTACAACCATGATGTGGTTGTTGATAACAGAAAAATGAAGAGGGGACTCCTTAGGCTGCAAGAGATAAATAAAAATGTCAAATCCAAAAGGTTCTGGCTTAATTACTCAAATCAAAAACCAACTCATTTCAGCAGCTATTTCCTGATGATCCCCCAAGTACTGAAACTGCCCATCCCAGTGGCGACCCCCTGTAAGTGTTCAGCATTTATTGTCATCCAAGGCTCTGAAGCAAACTTGCTCCCCAGCAAATGGCTCACCCGCTTTGTTCTTTCTGGAGCTATATACTAAGGACCTACTATGGGCCAAGCTCTTTTCAGGTTGCCAGGGATTTCGTGTGAACAAAGCTCATTCTCAGGAATCTTCCAATCTAGTGGGGTAAAGAAATATTGATTTTTTTAAGTCATATAAATACAGAATACAATTAAGTGGCTTGGAGGTAGAAGAGCCAGTGTGGGGTAGGGGGAAGACTGACCTTTCAGAAGGTCAGAAAAGACTTTTCTGAAGAACTGACATTTAAGCTCAGATATGAAGGATAAATAAGTGTTAAGTAGGCCGAACCACAGGACTTCTCAGAGCCTTCAAAGAGCTAAAGGGCAATGAGAGTAGCCACAAGGGTAAAATCATTGCACATTTGGAATTTCCTGCAATGATCTGCTCTGGAGCCCTGACTCCTTAGCGTATCCCCCTTGCTCAGGGGCACCATCCTCATGCTCAGCCCTCCCTGCATAGAGTCCAGCCACGGGGTGTTCACCAAGCCCTCTGCAGCCTGCTCTTCTGTTCTCTTCCTTTGTGGCTAAACCACCTGTCTTCCCAGCCACAGCTCTTCATGGAGCCCCCGGCCCCTCTCACTCACTCATCCCCACCACTGGCTTCTTCCCCGGCCCTTTATCTCTAGGCTCCCCTGCTGCTGCAATCCCACCCAGCTGCCACTGGCCTGTGGAGAGAAGACACACCTGCCTCCAGTAGAGACTGCAGCTGAGAGTGGGGGAAAGGGAGGGAAGAAGCAATGAAGGGAAGTGAGGACAAAAGCAATTAAGGCATGAGAGAGAAGGAGGCATCATCCAGCATGATGACGAGGGAGGGAGGGGGGTGCCAGGGGAAGGTGGGAAGGGGTGTGATGGCAAGGGCTGAAGAGCCAGCGACACTGTGCAGATCAGGAGCCGAGCTGAGTGTGGAGTGAGTGGAGAGAGGGAACGGGTACCTGCAAGGGTGAGTGATTAGGACGAGGGCAGTGTTGCTCAAGTGGAACAGCTGATATTAATGATACGCATCAGACACACTCAGCACATTCTCATTGTGGTGCTTGCTACACATTCATTTCCCCAACAGTTTATCTTTTTTCAGAGATGGGGTCTCACTCTGTTGCCCAGGCTGGAGGGCAGTGGAGCCATCGTAGTTCACTGTAACCTGAAACTCCTGGGTTCAAGCGAACCTCCCACCTCAGCCTCCCAAGCAGCCGGGGACTACAGGCGTGCGCCCCTGTGCCTGGATAATTTTTAAATTTTTGGAGAGATGGGGTCTTGCCATGTTGCCCAGGCTGCCCTAACAGTTTATACTCTGTTTTACACACCAGCCTCACAGTTTTTCAGAAACCATGTTAATAACCCTAGAAGTTTGATCTCATATTCCCCATTTCATACATGAGACACAAGGAGGATCAGTAACTTCCACAAGGCCATGCAGCAAGGAAGTGGCAGACACAGGACTCGAACCCAGGCCCTTCTGACTCTACCATCTGTACCAGGCTCCATCTCAGGAGATGGGGGTAGGTGGATGGAAGAGAGACCATAGTGAGATGGCAAGAATGTCACCAGCTGATGGAGGGAGGGGAGACGAGGGGACAGATAGAAGAAGACCACAGCTGAGTAATCAGAGACTGTCAGAGGCCAACAAAGATCAAAGCAGACAGACGGCGTGAGCAGGGCCGTGAAGGCGGCATGAAGGGGAGAATTTCTGTATAGGTCCCTCCTGCCCGGGAATAACCTCCTTGAGGCACTAAGCATGAAAACCGAGAAAACATCCACATTGCAAAGAAGTGGGCATTGTCCTTGCCGGGGCCACCCGCCTTGCAGTGGCCCAGCTCCTCCTGGGAAACAGGAAGTGTCCTTGGACTGAACCAGGTAAGTTCAGAGCCAATTCCCCCAACGCCATGCTCCGAAAACTATCAGACATGGTTTAAATCACATCCCTCCTCTCGAGTTAATACAATAAATAGTAATGGCTCAGCAAGATCAGAGGAAATCATATTCTCAATGGAGAAATGAAAATACAGTGGAAAAATAGAAGCATGTTTCTTGTTTAATTCCAACACAGAGGGCCTTTTGTTAATTCTGCCAAAGCCAATTCAACCGTCAGAAAACCTGAATCAGTATAAAGAATTGACTTTCAAAAGAAAAGGAAGATTATTCAGTGAAGGGAGAAAAATTATCACTCTTCTTGATATGTATAGCTGCTTCATTATTTTCCCAGACTGATAAAATTAATACAAGTATAATGGCATCTCTAGACATATGAGAAAGCTTTATTGCAGCAAATACAAATATTTAAAACACAAAGATTTCATTTTGTTCAGGAACTTCAATGACTTTCTAAAATTCATCCCTCGGATTTTATTTCTCAAGATTAAGACTCTGCCTCCAAAATAAGTCAGCCAGCCTTCCCAGAAAGAATTTCTCCCTTGTGAAACATCTCATTTCCTACATGTATCTGCAAGGGGCATCTCCCTGGCACAGCCAACCTCATGGCGCCAGGACCAAACCCTGTGTCATTAAAATAAACTCACTTCCACTTTCGGGTGCAGATCAACGTTCTCACGGAGAAGAAAGTTAACAAGGGATGCATGGCCATTCCTGGTCGCTATCTGCAAACTACTGATATTGAGCTGCAAGAGACAATGGAGAGGGCAGGGAGGAACTCCCATTATAATTCAGCATGCTTTCTGGGGTTTATCACACAGTAATCAGTTAATACAATGAAATAGTACAACTACAGTCATGCATCACATAACAGTGATTTGGTCAATGACAGACCCGCCGTGGTCCCATAAGATTACAATGGAGCTGAAAAATTCCTGTGGCACAAATACTTAACCATTGTGTTAGTATGCTGCACAGGAGCAACAGCTATACCATAGGAGCCTAGGAGTAATGGTAGGCTGTACCATCTAGATTTGTGTAAGTACACTCTATTAGGTTTACACAACAAAATCAGGCATTCCTCATAACATTTCCCTGTCATTCAGAGATGCATGGCTGTATTTAAAAAAGAAAATCTGGCTGGGCACAGTGGCTCATGCCTGTATTTCCAGCACTTTGGAAGGCCAAGGTAGGTAGATCCCTTGAGCCCAGGAGTTTGAGATTAGCGCTGGCAACATGGCAAAACCCTGTCTCTACAAAAATTAGCTGGACTTGGTGGTGTGCGCCTGTGGTTCCAGGTACTCAGGAGGCTGAGACTGAGGTGGGAGGATGGTTTCAGCCTGCAAGGCAAAGATTGTAGTGAGCGGAGATCATGCCACTGCACTCCAGCCTGAGCAATAGAGTGAGACCCAGTCTTGAAATAAACAGAAAATCCATTGTGTTTTCAATTATTGGGGTGGAGGGAGCTATTAATAGGTTGGTGCAAAAGCAATTGTGGTTTTTACCTAATTGGTTTTTTCTAAGTATCTCCCATGAAAGTGTCAGAGCCCTAGGGAACATATGTGCAACAGACTGAATGTTTGCCTACCTCCCACCATTCGCATGTTGAAACTCTAATCGCAGTGTGAGGATGATAGGAAGTGGGGCCTTTCAGATGTCCAATTACCTAATGTTGTTGACTGATTAATTGTAAGATTGCTACAAAGTATTTTCAGGTCTTTCAAATAAGGATGCTGCTGGAAACTGTTTTCCCAAAATGGCTGCCTCAGTGTCTCCCGTCCCAAAGGCTCTTCTGCAGCATGACCTTGCCACTCCCCTCATTAAGAGGTGGGGCTTATTTCTTCACTCCTTTGAATCTAGGTGAACCCTGGGTGGAGCCCTCGTGCCCTTGCAAAAAGAGGCCAGAGAGCTAGCTAGTTCTCTTTGTGCCATGTGAGGCTACAAGAAGAAGACAGCTGTCTGTAAACCAGGAAGAGGGCCTCATCAGAACCTGATCTTATAGCACGCTGATCTCAGACTTCCAACCTCCAGAACTCTGAGAAATAAATGTTTGTTAAGTCACCCAGTTTTAAGGTATTTTTAATAGCAGCCTGAGCTGACTAGGATACTATGCCTAGGGCAAATGTGAGTTAAATCCTCATTTCCCTTCTCCCAGGAGGTGTGAAGTGGGCTAGAACCAAGTCTTCTCTCTGCGCACCTTAGCAAAACCCCTCTTTGAACCAAAATAGGTGACTTAGTATTGGCCCCAGGAAAGGCCTCAGTGTCCTGCAGCCCTGTCTGCTTACTGCCAGTGTCCCCTGTGCTAGGCAGACATTCAACGCTCAGCATAATTTCTATGTGCAGCATTCCCCCTTCATCTTCTTATTCAGCCCCTTCACTATGTGAAGACACCTTGTAGCTAGATGGCACACTGATGGAGGGGATGGTCGGCTCTGGGCGCTCCTGCCATACTCCAAATGGCCCAGCATGGTGCCTTACAATAATACAAGGTCAATGAATTGGTTGTTGACTGATTAATTGTAAGATTGCTATGAAGTATTTTTACATCTTCCAAATAAGGATGCTGTTGGAAACTGTTTTTCCAAAATACTGCATCTCCTGTCCCACAAGCTTGTCTCCAATATGATCTTGCCACTCCCCTCATCAGAGGTGGGGTTTTCCACCTCACTGAATCTGGGTTGACCCTGTAACTGCTTTGACCAATAGAATATGGCAGAAGTTCCAGTTCCAGGAGAGGCCCCTAACTAGCCTGCAGCTGCTGCTGTCTGCCTTTTGTCATGCCTGCCCTTGTAAGCCTTCCTCTTAGAGGACAGTTTCCAGGCTGTAGGCTGAGGCACATGGCGAGGCCCAGGTGAGCTCCCAGCTGACAGCCAGCATTAACTGTCAGGCATGTGAGTGCACTCTCTTGGATATCTAGCTCAGGTAAGCCTTCAAAATCCTGGTCAACTTCCAACTGTAATCACATAAGAAACTCAAAGTAAGAATCCTCTCAACTGAGCCCAGTCAACCCACAGAGCCATGAAAATAATAATACACTGTTATTTAAAGCCCCTGGACTTTGGGTTGGATTATTATGAACCAATAGATAATGGAATAGATGCCAACAGAAATGACCTATCTCTGACCAACTGAAATCTAGCTCACATGATGCTAAATGCCTATATGACCTTGGATAAGTGGCCTATCAACTACGGACCTCTTTATCTTCATCTGTAAAAATGGCATAACCCCCTATATTAGTTTTCTATTGCTGTTATAAAACATTGCCGCAAAATTAGTGGCTTAATAAAAATGTATTATTTTATAGTTTGGGAGGTCAGAAGTCTGAAATGAATCCCACTGGGCAACAAAAAAAAAATGTTCACAGGCCTGTGTTTTCTTTCTGGAGGCTCCACATCCTTGTCTCTTCTAGGTTTTAGAAGCCTCCTATGTTCTTTGGCTCATATCCTCTTGCTCCATTTTCAAAACCAGCAACAGTTACCTGAGTCCTTCTCACACTGCATCAGTGACATCCTCGTCTGCCTCCCTCTTCCACGTTAAAGAATCCTCAAGATTACATTGGGTCCAACTGGTAATCCCAGAGAATCTCATTTTAAGATCAGCCAATTAGCAACCTTAATTCCATCTGCAATTTAAATTCTCCTTTGCTATGTAACATAACATATTCACGGGTTCCAGGAATTGGGATCTGAACTTCTCTGGAGGTGGGGAGCCTGATTCTACCTACCACATCATCCTACCTCTTTCTCTGAAATCACAGTACTACTGGGAGGATATATGAGCCACTAAATGTGTATGGTAACCGTAACTATTATTTTATCCATTCCACACACACACACACACAAAATACTGAGCACCTATTTTGTGCCAGGCACTATGATAGTGAAGAGATATGCTGGTAAACAAAACTGACAAGATATCTGACATTACATTTCAGTGGTGGCAGACAATCGATCGATCCATAGATTGGTAGACTGGTAAATCAGTAAATCAGTGGGCTTAAATTAAATCTGCTTGTTAGATTCTAGATGTTGTTAGAAGAACAACATTATCTAGTTGTAAGTTCTACAAGACATAAAAGACATTTGGCTACTTTCTCATGGTTGATCAACAAAGCCTTGTTGGATAAGGTGACATTTAAACTGAGATCAGAATGGTCAGAAGTGCTCTTACTGGGACGATCAGAAGCCACCTAAAGCAGAAACAAATTTACGAAAAACTCAAAGCAGGAATCCTGTAGGGCGAAGAGCCACGGGAGTCCGCAGCATTTACCTCTAAGTATCGCGGGCTCCGTGTATGGGGCCTACAGACTTTTTATGAGCCAAAGAAATCGTTAAAATGTAAAAAAAGAAAAAAATTATTGGCTCCACGATACAGAAAGAAAACCACAAAATTGAAGTGAATAAATATTTAATTGACATTCATACTTCATTGATTGTTAAATGTAATATTCATAAAATATTCATTATATTTATAAACAATTTGTAGCTAGCATTTTTTCACCTCCCTCAAATTCCCAATTATGTACACAGAGTTCTAAGAAATCAGAGTCAATCATAAATTAGGTGAGTCTGTCATAGCCAAATAATTGCAAAAAAGCAAAAACAAAAAAGCCTTTTAGAGTAATTAACAGCAAAAAAAAAATGTAAAGAAGAATGGGAGCATTTAAATATGTATGACAAAATATGAGGTAGGACCTCCAGGAATATGAGTTCTTAGGATGTACAAAAGTCTTCATTGAACCCAGGGCAGTAATAAGGCCCTAAAGAGAGCCTATTGCCCTAACCCTGGGCAGCACCTCCACCCAGCACAAATGGAGGAAGCCAGCTGTCATCTAAATTCATAATCTCCCTCCAACATCCTCCTTAGAAATGACTCGGCCCTTTACCCTCTCCGCTTGCTGACGGGGAGGTGGGAGGGAGCACAAAAGCAATCTCCTGGACACCAAGGCTCATCAGTGTCAGCAGGTGAAGAATTTCCAAGAGCAAACACAGCAATCACCTACAAATGTGAAAGCAAAACAAAGTCCAACCCATCCCGGGATCATGTGTGTCCTTGCTGTCAGCCTTTTCTTCACACTGCTTTCCTCCCCAAGGTTTGCACTGGGGTGGACAGATCGGTGTGGATGGCAGGTAGGGGGCTGAGGTTGTTGATAGAGAAGTGTGCTGATGAACTTGGGAAAAACTCAAGAGGTAAAAGCTAAGAAACAGATTCACAATAATTTCCAGGCTGCCTAGAGCAGCTGAGGCCACTGGCTGTAAGCACAGGGACAATATGGAGCCTGCAGTCTTAGTCGGATAGGGAGAACAAGTGCAATTGAAAACCATTACAAAGCAAAATACTTAAGGGCAAAATAATTAAGGACAAGAATGAGGCAGGATACAAAATAATGGAGTAAGCCTGACAGTCTTGCTAGCCTGGGAAGCCTTCCCAGGACCTTGAAGGGGAATACAGACTGAAGACAAGGAGGCACCTGTGCAGTGACTGACCAGCAGCACAGCTCTCCACATTCTGAATATTTCATGGCTCCCATGAATTCTTAACTTTGTGTTTATTTATTGCATCAATAACCTTGCAACTTCAGCGGGAATTAACTCACACTACTTTGATTTTCCTCTCTCACAATCCTTGTCCATGTATATATTAATCCAATATCATATTAATATTTACTATATTTTGTCAATTAGTGTTTTTCTATGATTAACATGTTCAATATCGCAATATATTTTCAGTATTTGTCACATAATTTTTAACAGCTACATAATTTTCCAAGAAGTAGATGCACCAAACTTTCTTTCCGCCTTCTCCTACCATTCATTCCACATATATGTTGTATCTAATTATTGACCACTGGAGCTAACTTTATCATCTAACTGAATGCATGCAGCTAGCTTTTTCTGCCTTTTAAATTATTTCCTTAACATAATTTTCTGTATGTGAGTAAAAGGAAAGTGACAAATTGTTTTTCGAAAGATTATACAAATGTACACTCCCACCAGCAGAATACAGGGTATCAAACGTGCCAGTTTTGGACTTTATTCTTGTTTGGGACTTTATTCTTGAGTGTTTAACTTTGCACTTGTTGAAAAGGAATTGTTTATACATTTGTACTTGTTGAAAAGGAATTGTTCTTTGTTTTTTGGTTTTTTAAAATTATTATTATTGTTTTAAAGATGAGGTTTCACCATGTTGGTCAGCTGATCTTGAACTCCCGACCTCAGGTGATCCGCCCGCCTTGGCCTCCAAAGTGCTTGGATTACAGGCGTGAGCCACTATGCCCGGCCGAAAAGGAATTGTTTTTACAGTGCGCCACTGTTTGTTTGGTGTTGGTGTATATATGTGTGTGCGTTTAATCACATTTTCCATGTGGATTCATGGACAATTCCTGGAAGACTAAGTAAACTATTAAGGATGTTAGTCCTGGGAGTAAAATTGCAATGTGGGTTTGGGGTAAGACACTTCTGTATCATATATGCTTTGGTTCTATTCAAATTTTTTGTCATGAGTTTTTATTATAATTAATTAGAAAAACAGAAAAAGAAACTAAACCATCTAAAGACAAGGCCATTGCAGGGGTTCAAAGCTAAGGCACTGGTGACAGACATGAGTTTCAATCCTTACACTGCCATTGACTAGTTATTATGATCCTGAATGAGTTTCCTTAACTTTTCCAAATTCTATTTTTATTATCTAAAAAAAATGAAAATAATAACACAGTCTCAAAAGTTGCAGAGGCTCTCAGCGCAATGACAAGAGTATTCCCTATTTAGAGGAAGGGACCATCCTTCCTTCTTCATTCTGCAGGCTGACCACTTGCGCTTTCACACAATAAACTTTTTTTTCAGCATCCCCTCTGTATAACCCATGTGTGCACTAGTTGCTACGAGAAAACAAGGTAGAACAGAGTGCCTGTTTCTAAGAATTGACAAGTACTTGCTCCTTTTGCTCCATTTTCAATTATTCCTTCCCCAAAAGAATAAAAAGAATGGCATTGCTTTTGAGGATGCAGTAACTGAGGAATATTGCAGGTAAATCATTAATTCTTACCAAAAACAAAGCATATTATAAATATTAATTCTAAAGTACCAGTGAGTGGATCAGTGTAGGACAAGAGTTTCCAAAGAGCATTTTGAGTCTCCCTCCCACAGCGTGAGTGAACATGGTCTGGAACACATACTTTATTTGGAAAGTTGATGTCACTTCCTGCTGCCAGCAGCACTTTACTGCACTCCTCATGACCTCCTTCAACAGTCAGAAAGAATGGTGCTTCTCCACTCTAACAAAAAGAGAAATAAGTTAAATTTAATTGCCTCTTGTCATGGAACGAAATTACTTGACAAACAACATGCTTTTTCTTTGCCTTTTGTGCATTCCTCTTAATAATGGATAGCATTTATTGAACAACTATGTGTCAACTTGTACTGCCAAGACTATATGCTTCAGCACAGTTAAATCACACAATGCTATAAGAGCAGGGTTAATATTATCCACATGTTACAGATAAGAAAACTAAACCTCAGCTGAAAAGTGTCAAAGTGGCTGGGCTTAGTGACTCAGTGGCTCAGCCTGTAATCCCAGTACTTTTGGAGACTGAGGCAGTCATGATGGCAGATGCCTATAGTCCCAGCTACTCAGGAGGCTGAGGCGAGAGGATCACCTGAGCCCAGGAGGTTGTGGCTGCAGTGAGATAGGATTGCATCACTGCACTCCAGCCTAGGCAACAGAGTGAGACCCTGTCTCCAAAAAAAAGAAAAAGAATCTCAAAAATAAGGAATTATAGTGCAGTATGAAACACAAAATTAGAAGTACATTTGTACCAAGTATAGCTTTAATCTTTACGACTGATTAAATGTGACATGACATTTAAAAAAAAAATCTCAGTACTTCAGTTTCCTGAAACTCAGGATAAATATTAGAAGAACAAAGTAAAAGTTTAATACAGGCCAAAACATAGAGGAGAAAGAAGGAGTTGTTCCCACATAGTAGCTACTTGGCTATTTCCCTTTCCTCATGCAGACTCTTTCCTAAAAATATTGGGAAGAAATTTAGAATTCCTTCCGCATTCCCTAACAGTTTCCCTCCTTGGACATTATTCTGCTTAACAACTGCCTTAGGATAAATTCAGAAGGCTTTACTCACAGCTAATTAGGTATGAACAATCATGTTAGCAGGAACACATGAGCACAGAAACCAGTGTTTCCATTCCAGCAAGGTGGGAAAATCATATTCCAGGCTGCTTTACCTGGGTGCCTGGAACAGCTATCTGCTTACAAAGGAATTTCTTCTCATAATCTTTCTTTTCATTTTTCTGGGAAAATAGATGCAAAAAGACAAATCCCAGTGGAGAACTATTTGTAAAAAATGTGTAAAGGAAATAATTGATGTCCTTAATATATCAAGAGCCTGATAAGGTTTCATATCTTGGATCCTACAATCTACCTCTAAGGATATACCCAAAGGCAATTGTGAGGAATTCAGACTACAGTATATACAGTATATCCTTGTATATATAATATACAAGGAGGTTTGTGGAAGCACTACCCGTAATAAACAAAAACAAACTAAATATCGAAGCGCTAAAGAATAGTAAATGAATTTGGGGCAGCTACAAAAATATACTGTACACCAATGTATAGGAACACAAAGGAAACTGGAAGTAAAATACATCAGATGTGTATAAGATCATCCTTTGAGCTGGGCATGGTGGCTCACACCTGTAATCTCAGTTGCATGGGAGGCTGAGATGGGAAGATCACTCGAAGCCAGGAGTTTGAGACCAGCCTAAGCAACATAATGAGACCCTATTTCTAATAATAATTATTATTTGAGTTTAGAGAAAATACAATACTGCTATTTATTTTTTATCTTGCATTTTTAAAATGTATATTTCTAGCATATGCTTTATAATGAATTAATTGAATTATAAATGTACATATGATAGCTCAAACTTTCTTTACCAATATGAGTTTGCTACCAAGAATGCCTAGAGACCACTGCTCTAGAGCACATTCATATGGGTCTGGCAATATCTTGCATCAGGAAGCGGAGGAAGCCCCAAACATTATAAATCACATCCAAAAAGATAATGTTATCGCTGTGCTCTTAATTTTGTGCAAATGAAACTATCATAATCTGAAATTAAAGTTTCTTGGGCTTTATGAGTTTTCCCCAATGTGCCTTGACTCCAAAATAGCTAAAAGGTAGATGAAATCCACATGCATACACACATTTCAGTGTTCGCTTTGAGACGGAGTCTCGCTCTGTCGCCCAGGCTGGAGAGCAATGGCGGGAAATCAGCTCACGGCAACCTCTGCCTCCCGGAATTGAAGCGATTCTCCTGCCTCAGCTTACCCAGTAGCTGGGACTACAGGCGTGCGCCACCACGCTCGGCCAATTTTCTGTATTTTTAGTAGAGACAGGGTTTCACTGTGTCAGCCAGAATGGTCTCTAACTCCTTTCTTCGTGATCCCCCTGCCTCGGCCTCCCAAAGTGCTGGGATTACAGGCGTGAGCCACCGCACCCAGCCTGCAGTGGTTTTAGTACGTTTTAATAGAACAGGGAAAGCATAACTGAGACTATCAATCCGTGACTACAGGACTTGATCTCTGCTCTGGTTGGAATGTTCATGTCCCTTCAAAATTCATGTTGAAACTTAAATCCCCAATGCAATAAAATTAAGAGATGGCCTTTATGAAGTGATTAGGTCATGAGGGCTAGCTCAGTCAACCAGGTGGATAGAATTGTCATTGTTTGAGCACATGCATTACATTGGAATGGGTAAAAGTGGCTTAAAAGAAAATCTTAGAAACAATAGTGGGTCACTCTTTAAGAAATGCTGCATCTCTCATGCCACTGTACTCCAGCCTGGGTGACAAAGCAAGACTTTGATGCTATAAGAAAAAAAGAAAGAAAGAAAAAGAAAAAAAGAAAGAAATCATCAAGACTGATTAGGATAGTGATTTAGAAGAATCTAATTCAGCATGAAGTTTAGAAACAATTAACTGAGTTATCTTGCTAATTTTTTTCCTTTATACATGCATGTAAAAAACTAAAAGTCTAAAAACATCTTCAAATAGGCAGCATAAAATAAATATTTTAAGTGATAATAAAGTTTTTTGTCATAGTTAAATGGCAGCATGATTTTTTCTGAGTGTTACATAAAATAATAATGTGCCTTACAATCAATGGTATCTTAAGGTAAATGCTTATGATATTAGTTCTTTTGGTAGCTCTCAGGAGAGGCATCAAGTGTAGAAATTATCAGAACATTAAACTGTGAAATACAGGAGGACTCCACTGACCTGAGTTTCCAAAGAGCCAGACAAAAAATCACTGAACCATAGGTTAAGAAATGACCATCCAGGGGCAACTCACAAATCTGCCTACACAGCCACAGCCATATCCCCTCCCCTAAATCCAGAACCAGTGTCTTTTTTTTTTTTTTAATAGATGGAGTCTTGCTCTGTCGTCCAGGCTGGAGTGCAATGGCGTGATCTCGGCTCACTGCAACCTCCACCTCCCAGGTTCAAACGATCCTCTCACCTCAGCCTCCCGAATAGCTGGGACTATAGGCATCTGTCACCATGTCTAGCTAATTTTTTAAATTTTTTGTAGAGACGGGGCTTTTTGCCATGTTGGCCAGGCTGGTCTCAAACTCCTGACCTCAGGTGATCCGCACACCTCAGCCGCTGAAACTGTTGGGATTACAGGTGTGAGCCACCACGCCCGGCCCCAGAACCAGTTTCTAGCTGGCTAACACTCCACCTGACTGTACCCACCTCCCAGGCGCCTCAAACAAAATCCATTCAAGCCCTCATTACCTATACCACTCACCTACTCCTCCCCTGTACCCCCAGCAACAGCCCAAGCCAGAGAGCTGGGGGAAGAAAGTCCTTCCTCTCCCTAAGTCCTGGTGACAAGTCCTGAGGACTCTGCCTCCTCCTACAACTTCATCCTGTCTGTTGCTCATGAGTGTCTCAGTGAGAGGCCTTCCATAGGTCTTGTTTCCCCCATTTTGGCAGTCACCTGATTGGTCCTCCCCTGGTTCTGGGCCCTCCTGGCACCAGTCTACCTTTCAAAAGGCTGTGACAGTTACCTGCCCACACCTAAGATGAATCTGATCCCTTTTCACTGCTTAAAACCCTTCAAGGTCTCTTCTGGCAAGCACATCAAAGCCAAGCCCTTCCTCCCGCACAGCATGGCCTTTCATCGTCTGTCTGCCTTGGCCCACTAAGCTTCTGGCTTTCCCAGGCCTCCTATCCTCAGTTTCTGCCACCTTGAACTTGTCAGTCCCAGAACGCACCATACTCTTGCCTTGGTTCTTTTACTTGGACCCTTCTCTCTGTCTGAAATACTTTATACTTGTGCCATCCTCAAAATCCCTCCTGCCAATGTTCATTGCAATGTCAAGACCCAGGTAATATATCACCTCTTCTGTGAAAACTGAAATTTCTGAAAAACATCTTCCTCTGTGTTCTCATGGCATTCTCTGTAGACCTCTATTATTGCATGTAGCCCAGTACATTATTTGTTTTGCATGCCCTTCTTGCCCTGTGGGCTTCTAGAATAAGAATACATACTTCATCCGGCATACATAATTTTTTTTTAATGAATGGGTAAATAAATGAATGGCTTAACAAATGAAGTGCTGTGAGATACTTTGAAGAACAAAGTAAGGATCCTTCAGTATCACATTGTACACCCTATGGCACTAACACTTTTGTTTTCCTCCCATTCTTTTCTGGAAAGCCATTCCTCCAACCATTCCCCGGTTAAGTCCTGTGTCCATAGTGAGCGTTTCCACATACCTCATTCATCTCATTTATGTCTTGCCACTGGGTTAGCAGCACCCGCACTGCAGGACTGTGACCACGCTTCGTAGCGAGGTGCAGGGCAGTGTTTCCCTCCTGCAACAGAGACACACTGGAGGTAGAATCCCCTGTGCCGGGAAAGCATGCTCCTTCAATAGCAAGGTTGCAGTGGAGTTTCTGGAAGCTTCCATTTTGGTTAAAGCTGCAGTCTAGAGTGTGGACCACAGTATCTGCTGTTTTAAGTGAAATTTATATATTTTTAAGTTTTAAATAAAAAGGCATAGCTTTTTGAACCAGTAGAAAAAAAGCCATCCATGCACCTTGTCATAACTTTGCCACCAATTGGTAGCAACATGTGGAGCAACAAAAGAAATTCCATTTAACCTATGTAAGGGTAAAATGGTGAAAAATTTCTGTGAGATCACTTTAGGAATATCATATATCAAAACTTTTTAAAAATGTGCAGAAGGCTTTGACCCACTATTCTACATCTAGGACTTTCTCCTAAGAAAGTCATCAAAGATGTATATATAAATATAGACATCTACCCCAGGATTTTTTCCTCCCCTTTCATATAGGGCTGAGCCTCCAGGACACCTCACGGGAGGAGAGGAGAGGGGTGGAGTTGATCATGGAAAAATCCATGTAGTCTATTGACTTCACAAACATTAATGAAGCAAAAAATACCAATCTGGACAACCCACAGAAATGGTGGAAGGATTTTGCCTGGATATTTCATGATTCTCTCTGAGTACAGTAACAATTTAACAACTCTCCTGCTTGCTAAAATGCCCTCACCAAATCTACATGCCAATTGTTACCCCGCTGCATCAATTGTTACTCCCCTTTCTCTTGTTCTCAGCAAAGAAATAAAACTCCAACTCACCTTGTCCTTTTCTGAAGTATGCAGGTTTAGGAAGGTAAGTTTTTCTATCATTTCAACATGGCCCCTCTCAGCTGCCAAAAGAAATGTTTTTCTTCCTTTCTAAAAATCAATCACAAACTTCAAGCATTTAATTACGTTCTTAGTGAACAAGCAAGACAATGGACAAAGCTGGTGGCATTTTAAGGATGATGGGGAGTCGATGGGAGAAAGATGATGCTATCTCTGACTCCAAACCAGATTCGGTTCTGAGTTTTCACTCAAAACTGTGGGAGACTCTCTACATCAGCATGAAATCTGTTTCACAGGGGAAAACAAATACTGTTCAGAAAAGGTCCTCTCAAGTATCAGGGAGGATCAAGCAACATCACAGTCAGATGACAAGATTCCCTTTCAAATATAGTAATATTATGAACTTTATTTATTCAATAGTTCTTTCACCATTTACTGAGAAGCTACTATGTGCCAGACCCTGTCTCAGGCACCTGCACATCATACTAAGCCTTCCCTTACTGATAACAATGTTTGAAACAGAAATTTTCTGGGGCTAATTATTTATGTGGCTCATTCTGACATGACATTTGATTGATTAACTACTTCTCCTTACGCCCTCCCTGCTTCCTCATAGATTTATCTACAATATCTACTAAGAATCAATAGGAAAACTCTTGAGAATAGGTCAATATGAAATGGAATTAAGAAATGAGGCTTTATCCAGAGACTATAGATGTAGAGAAATGTTTAGGTTTGATTTTTTTAGAAGATAAGCTCAAATATAGAATTTTCTGATTATGGAATTCCTCCTACTTTTCATGTTGCCATTGGAGACTGCATTTGCCATAGCCAAAATGTCATCAAGAAAAGTGAAAGATATGTCTTAGTCTGTTTTGTGTTGCTATAACAGAATATCTCAGGCTGGGTAACTTAAAAAGAAAAGAGGTTTACTTAGCTCACAGTTCTGCAGGCTGGGAAGTTCAAGGGCATGGTCTTGGCTTCCGGCAAGGCTTTTCACACTGTTCCATAACATGAGACAGAAGGTCAAAGGGATGTGAACATGTATGAAGAGACAAAACTCAAGGGGTATCCTAGCTCCCACTCTTGTGGGAACAAATTTATTCCTATGAGAATGAATCTAGTCCCACCAAAGTGAGAACTCACTACCTGAAGAATGGCACCAAGCCATTCATGAAAGTTCCACCCACATGACTAAACATTTCCCAATAGGTCCCACCTCCTAACACAACCAGATTGGGGATCAAATTTCAACATGAATTCTGATGGGGATGAACCATAGCCAAACTATAGCAGATCCACAGAAAATGTAATGTTGTAACTTGAGATAATTAAAAGAAGGAAAAGAAAGTTGTGGTGGCAATATGATAGCAGAAGTATTTTCTTCAATCAAAGAGAAGAAAATGCTCACAAATTGGCTTAGTGTGTTACTGAAAGCTTAGCAAGGTGTCTTAATGTGAAAAAATAGATATAAGCCTCTTTATAAAAAGGTCCTAAATCTGAGATTAGTTATCTAACACTTGAAAAAATAGGGTAATGAAAAGATCATGGTCACTTAACCTGAGATAACAACTCAGGAGCCCCCAATAACTGGAGAAAAAAGGAAGAAAAAATTGCTAAAATAGTAAATGGCAAAAACACAAACAAATCTATAAAATCAGTCCTACAGAGGTCTGTATTTATGCATGTATGGAAGCGGGAGAAAACAATTTGCTCCAAAAATTTCATCTAATTCATCATTCTTGGGCCATATATGTCACCAATGAGATTTACATCCTCAACCCTTCAAAGGGTTTAGTGATTTCATTCTCAGAAAATCAGTAAGAAATGGCAAAGGGAAGAAACAGAGACTGCTTGGAACCACAGTTTGCTGCTTTCAATGTAAGCATTAATTGAAGGGTAAAATTAAATCTTGAGCCATGAGCAACTCTTCATAAATCACAAACCAAAAATCATTGGGTCTGATACACAAATATCTGCAAATAGTGACTACAGGTAAAGTTTCATGTAAACAAATCACAAAAGAGGGAACAAAAAACAGTGATTATATACTAGATGAAAACATCTGGTCACATATCCTTATAAATCATTTATTCATTTGTTCAACAATTATTGAGTATCTATGTATATGCCAGATAATGTGCTAAGCAATAGGGTGACCAAGCTGAGAAATACATTGTTCATCCTCAAGCTGGTATTTGTAGTTCCTCTGTAGTTCTTCCCAGTAGATGGAATTTCCAATTAGGGGTCATTTTATCATAATCTATGCTGCTTAGTAACATAGTTGATAATCTATCTAGTTTGCAAGGACACAGAGGCAAAAAGTTAACCAAAATTTAAATTCTCATGCAGAAGGAAAGGGGTTTTGTTAGCTCTTTACCCAGAGACCACAAATCATACATGAAGGTGTTGTGGCATTTGTTGCTTTTGCCTTTATATTTACCTTTTTTCTAGTAATAGCACTTTCATTTTACTTTGGAGAACAACCACACATACACATACACACCCTACCATTTAGTGCATTTAGTGCTGTCCATTTTCAGGCCTTACTTGCCTGCCTTCTGCCACAATATTAGACAAAACGACAATAGGAATTTCAAAGATATATGTGGTTTGTAAAAAATATAGTTTCTTATCATGTCCTTTATTTTTTTTAACCACCCAATCAATCCTTTTTCATCACATTCAAGTAGGCATCTATCCAGGGCAGTCTCACAGGACCTCCCTTACTTGAAAGGCAGGAAGCTTTTCCAGCCAGAAGGATGGTGGAGCTTGGTGTCAGAGCTCTGGGCTCTAGGCCTTGGGCAAATCACAATGACTCCCTTGCTCAAGATCCTGTCCCTTTAAGTACTAAAATAATGTGAGTCCAGGATTTCTGTTCCATTTTTCCTCTATTAACTCCATGTATATTTAACCTGATTATAACAGGGTCTTACTTTGTCACTCAGGCTGGAATGCAACTTCTACCTCCTGAGATCCTGTGATCCTCCCACCTCAGCCTCCCAAGTAGCTGGGACCACCAGTGTGCACCACCACACGCTGGCTAATTTTTTGTAGAGACGGGTTTTCACCATGCTTCCCAGGCTGGTGTCGAACTTCTGAGCTCAAGAGATCCTCCCACTTCTGCCTCCCAAAGTGCTAGGATTAGAGGCATGAGCCACTGTACCTGGCTAACCTGTTTTAATGCAATGCATTTAATTTTTTGTTTGCATGTAAGTCTGAGGGATTGGGATTGTTTATTATAAACGATTTTTAAGTTTGCTGAGAAGATGAAGTTATCAAATTTGATGTCATCAAATTAAGCAAAAATTTCATAAATAGCCATTAAGTGGGTATTCAAAGTTCAACCTGACCTTCCTTTACCACAGGGATCTCTGAGATCTCTGAGGATCCCCTGAGGAGAGGGCGCTGGGTGGGCCTCCAGTGCACGGTCCGACCCCACAACACTTCCCATTACCCCGGGATCAGGCACTTGAGCCAGGGGAAAACCCTGAATAACTAGAAATTTCAGAGGTTAAAAAAAAATATGTGTCATGAGGTAAAAAAAAAAAAAAAAGCAGTATGTTAAAGATGAAAAAGTGGCACTGGTAAGGTGGGAGACACCAGGCTAGTTTTCCCCTTACATAAAGGAAATAATAGATTTGATTAAATCCAAAGCTGTTAAATGTTGCCTGGTGTCTATATAAGAAAACAGGTGTCTTCTCAAGTTCCCTTCTACTCACTATTCCCACCCCTTCCAGAAAAAGAAGCTTCTTTGCATTTTGACTTCCAGAGAATTTAAACCATGGAAGTCCACCATATGCATAGCTGAAACCAACCTAACATTATACCACCAAATTCTTGTAAATATCCAACAAATATATGAATGGCATGTAAGGCCTTCCTATTTCCCTCCCTCTCCAAATATGTTAGTCTGAGCATTTATTTTTGATCACCAGATGGACATTTACATGTAGATTTAAAACATCTATACTTTACTCATAACTCCTGGCTGCTCTAATCTCTCTTCCTTGGAGAGGCCTTAATGATTTCTATGGGTGTGGAGCTGGGGGAAATCGCAAAAGGTTTCCCAGCATCCTCCATCTCTCCCCACCCAAACTCCACCTGGCCTAGTTAAGTGCAGTTTGTTTTAAGGGCCTCCTCCCAGGAAAGCTTTCCTTTTTAGCTTTTGGATTTCCCTCCAGACCAAAGAGATGGATTTTACCAACCCTGGCAAGTACATAGGCTCTCAGTCACTATCTGTTGATAAGAAACTAGGCAAGAGAGTAACACTGTGAAGGTGAAGACATCTTTAATATCAAATGTATTTCACCAGCTTCACAATACCTTTAAGCAGATGCAAATGGGAAACCCAGCACTAAATCAATAGACCCTAAGCTTCTGATCCCAGTTGCAACTGGCTTTCCCCCCACATCCTTCCCCCGCTGCATTTTTTTATTATGGTAAAGTATTCATAACAAAATTTATCATCTTAACCATTATTAAGTGTAGAGTTCAGTGGTATTAAGTATACTCATATGGTTGTGTAGCCAGCATTACCGTCCATCTCCATAACCCTTTTCATCTCACAACACTGGAATTCTGTACTCATCAAACAATAATTCCCCACTTTCCCTTCCTCCTAGTACCTGGCAACTACCATTCCAACTGGCTTTTGCCAAATATGTGACCCACTCGCAGATCTTAGGGAAAAAAGTAGATTTTTTTTTTGTCTTTTCTATTCATCTATTTAGTTTTCTTAAAGGACTAAAGTTGGACTCCAGCTCAGAGTCTTCTTTCCCTAGATGACCCAGTGGATTCATTATTTGCTCATTCCTTGTGTGTCTCTGAACTCAGTTTAAGACCTCGCAGCTGGACATATCGCTCTGCGGTTTGCTGCCAGTGTTCCTAAACCCTTTTTCCCAACAGATGGAAGAGGAAGAAGGTGAGGGGAGACAACGTGCCCAGAATCAGCTGAAAAGAGTTATGGACAGGATGGCTGCCGGCCAGCAGGAACTCAAGAAGTAGGGAAGGCTCCCTGCAAACCTACTATGGTTTCTGAACCCCATCAGCCTGCCTGATCCTTCCCACACACTGCTGTCTTTCGTGGAAGCAATCAGAGCACACTGAATGGGGAGATAACTGTGTCTCATCCATAATGGGCTGTCAACAAATATCTGCTGAACTGAACTGAATGGAATTCATTCATTGACCACATCTCTAGTTGGCATGGATAAAATTAGAAAGATCCAACTTCCTCACCTGAGTACTAAATGGCATTTGACTATGACTGTCACTTTGAGAAAATAAGGTAGGATATTCTATCCTATAACAATTGTTGCAACAGTGAGCACCTACAATGTGCCTGGCTTGTTGCTAAGTGCTTTACAGTCATTAGCTGATTTAAGCCTCTTAGCAGTGGCTACTCCAAGTATTGCTACATAGGAATGGCATGGGGTGGAAGGGGGTTGTGGAATGGTTCATCACGAACTCATTTGCATAGGTGCTTTTACATAGGATTGAGGAAATGTCAAACATTATACATCAAAGAATGGAGGTTTCCTGATTTTAAAAAAATCATTATATGTGGGACAAGACTTCTCCTATCAACCCTTCTTGTTACCAAAGTAGATTTTATTGTTTCCATTGTAAAGACGGAGAAACTGAGGCTTTCAGCAGTTGAAATATTTCTTAAAACCACATGGCTAGTGCATGGTGGTACTGACAAGACCACAGCCCAAGTCTGTCTTCCTCTAAGCTGTAAATGTATAGTTGTTTAGTCATATGCAGAGGAAGTCAAAGAAGTTTATAGACCTAACTTGAAGAAATACTTTTTGTTGTTGATATCGTTGTTTTCAAAAATAAGGTCAGAAAAAAATGTAAAATTTTTTAAAAAGAGGTGAAATGAAGTGAATATTACTGATCAGCTTCTAAAGAAAGTTTTATGGTATAGTATTCTGGTGGCACAGGGAAAAAGAAGTCCCATTCACAAAGCATATACTCCTGCTGAGAAATCAAAATGCCAATTTCACAAAGCCTACTACTCTATTAAAAAAAAAAAAAGGCTACCACTCTATTAAAAAAAAAAAAAAAGCCACATACCTACAGGGAGATATCCAGGGAAAGGACAATCCCTGACATGGAGCAATGCCCACTGTCAATCTGAGGAGGGAGACAGCACAGTGTGAAGGCTGGATTCAGCCAGACCTAGCTTCAAGTCCTAGCTCTGTTACTTTTTAGTTGTGAGACTTGATCAGGTTGCTTGGCTTCTCTGAGCCTCAACTTCCTCTACAGATGAGCAAAATATTTTCTACCTTATAGGATTATTGTAGGGGTTAATGAGATCATTCATTCATTCAGAGATGATTTGTTGAGCATTGGTAGGTGCCAGGCCCAAGACCTCTTACTGAAATAATGTATGTAAATAGCTTTCCTCTGTACCTGGCATATTAATAGATACTCATTAAATAGTAGCTGGTATTGTTATGTATCCCCTTAGGTAAAGAAAAGGAATATTGACAAATGCAATAAAACTGCATTGTATGTCATGGTTCATTTCTGTATAGCTTTGGGTCAAATATATTTCCAAAAGGCCAAGCATAATAAAATTTAGGTACACATTCTGATAACTAAAGGGGATAGGATACTGTCTACACCCTGGCCAGGATGAGGGAGTAGAATGGGAAGAAGGAATCTGGGTGCTTCCTCAATACTTCCTGTTCTCCCTACAATCAGGGGCCAGGACCACCGCTAATACAACTCTCCCCTTTGGTTCTGTGGTCTGCCATGGTGATAGAGGAGCTGGCTACAGGGCCAGTTCTGTTGTGCTGGTTGCTTTCACAGCTCTACCAGAGGCAGGAAGAAAGTGGACTTTGATAGGGGTGTTATGTAAGACCTGTACAACCAAAGCAAACACACCCCATCAGGCTGGTTCAGGTCCTTGAGGTGCAGCTCTTGAATGAGATACTCCACGATGCGCACATGATTGCTCTGAGCGGCAAAGTGGAGGGCGTTCATTCTATCCTGAAGAGGGATACACAGTGACCTCAGAACTTCCTCTCTCCTGCAATGGTGAGGTAAGAGCTTTTGTCCAGGTGTGACCAACATACCTACCTGATTCTTAGCTCTCTGATCTGCTCCAGCTTTAACCAGCATGAGCATGATCTCAAGGCTCCCAGACCAGGCTGCAAGGTGAATTACTGTCAAGCCGTGCTTCCCCAAGAAGACAGAAAAGGAGAATCTATTACTCTGATGAGCTGCAGCATACTCTCTCATCAACAAAGGCCAAATTAATGCTAGACTGTTGAAAACTAAGACAGAGAATTCAATACGCATCAAAGGTGATATTTCGGTTCTATGGGGAAACATGGGTGTATTTAATAAGTGGTGCAGGCACACATGGTTCTCCATCTAAAAGAAAATGAAATGAAATGCTATATTATACCACATTCACAAACAATAAGCACATTAGAATAAAATCCAGACTATAATGTACAGTCTCTTAATCCACAGTTAGAATAGATAGATAATAAACAAGTCAATTACAAATGACAGATTTTTTTAAATGCATCTTTTTTTTTTTTTTTTTGAGATGGAGTCTCTGTCACTAGGCTGGAGTACAGTGGTGCAATTTCAGATCACTGCAACCTCTGCCTTCTGGGTTCAAGTGATTCTCCTGCCTCAGCCTCCTGAGTAGCTAGGACTACAGGTGCGTGCCATTATGTCCAGCTAATTTTTGTATTTTTAGTAGAGATAGGTTTTCACCATGTTGGCCAGTATGGTCTTGATCTCTTGACCTCGTGATCCGCCTGCCTTGGCCTCCCAAAGTGTGGGGATTACAGGCGTGAGCCACTGCACCCGGTCTAAAAATGTATCTTTAATAAAGATGAACGGCTATTCTACAATGCATGAAGCACACGTACACATAGAGAAGGAAAAGACAAACTCATGGAAAAATGGACAGAGAAAGGAAATGAAAATGATTATTGTTTAAGTATCTGCCAATATCAATCAAAATTGAAAATACAACCAGCAATCCCACTCCTGTGAATCTATCCCATGAAAATAAAAATTTCAATACCTAATGTTATATTTACAAGGCTATTACTTGCAATACAAAAAATTGGGAGCAAGATAAAAGCCTATGAACATGGGAATGCTGAATAAGTTATAGAATAATCAGCCTATATAATGAAAGCATTAAAAATAATGAATTAATGCTACAACAATTGGCTTGGAAAGATTTCCATTAGCTTTACTAAATATGGAAAATAATATGGAGAATGAATGTGATATAATCACATTTGTTAAAAATGAGTGATTAACAAAACCCTGTACATGTAAATGTATGTATCTATATCTATCTATAGGTGGGCTGGTGGGTAGGTAGGTAGATTGATTAATATAGATATGACTACGTGAGCAGGAGAAAGGTACAGAAATAAACACACATGTCTCAGATTGTTAAGTATAGTTACCAGAGGAAGAGAGGTACACAAAAGTGAAAAAAAAAGTTATAAAAAGGATCTCACTTATATAGATGCTACTTAAAAGATTTCATTTATGCAAAATTATATAGATTTTTGTGTGTGCAAACATGTGTCCACAAAGTTGTTAGACTGAAAGAGACCAGGACTTACTGACCTGTAGGGACACTGTGGGCAGGTGTATACCAAAAAAGCTGGGAGAAAAGTGAGTGTGGAAGGAAGCATAGCCAGCAGTTAACACTGGCTATTTCAGGGAGGTGAGATTCAAGGGAAATAAGCATAAAAATGCATTGCACCCCGGGCTCTAAGTTACAGAAGCAGTGTAGGGCAGACACTATGAGCCTGATCTTCAGGACCAAACAGAACTGATCTTAAATTCTGGCCACTTTCTATCACTTTTAAGTACGGGCATCTTGGTGAACTTAGTTCTGCCTCTCAGCTTCAGCTTCCTTATCTGCAAACTCACGTGTCTGCTTTTCTGTTTTCTTTGGCCTCATGAAAAAGTAATCCATTTCCTCAGTACAAGCGCCTACCCAAAATAAGCTCTCACGCTGCATTTTATTTGCCTCTTAGAATCAGTTCTGTTTGTGATCTAGGAAACAGTTTGTGAGATGCACACAGTATGAGTAAATACATAAGGAATGAGGGCCTGCGGTACACTTCTATTTGTAAAATGCAGCAGCCTTTTGGCATTTATTTTGGCTCCCCCACCAAGCTGCATTAATGTATTCTCTTATTCTCAGTAGAATTCATGTTGGGAGAATAAATCAGCAAGTCCAAATTATTGAGGCCTAACTCTAAATTGGTGATTCTCAGCTGGGTGTGATTTGTCCCCAGGAAACATCTGGAAAAATGTATGGAGATATGTTTTACTGTCATGCTGGGGTGGGGGGAGGTTAATATTGGCACCTAGAGGATATAGGCCAGGGATGCTGCCAAACGTCCTAACAATACACGGGGCAGCCCCAACAACAAAGAATTATCTGTCCCAAAATGTCAAGAGCACCGCTGTTGAGAAACCTTCTCTTAATGTGCTTATCCTATCAAGTTTATATTTATACACACTAGACGGTGAGTTAGTCCATTTGTAGATTTACAATTCCAACATGAAGAAAGCTCTTCATTTCTGGTCTCTTTGACCCAAAGAGCAGTGATGTACAATGACTGACTACTTGATGTTCTTCAAAACATGTTTCCTAAATAAAATTCCACCTCTTAATTTGGCCTTCCCTACAAGTCAGTGCTCTATATTCAGCAATACTAAGTATGCTTTCACATATAAAGGAGACCAGAAACATTTGAAACAGGTGACAAATCATGCTTTGATAGGAGATCTATTTTTTCCCTAAAAGGTCATTCCTAATTTCAAAGCAGCCTACATTTTCAAATGCCAAGCTCTGATCATAAAATCTCAAACCTGGGAATTCAAGCTGCAAGCAACTAACACCACAAATTCAGAGTGGAGCCATTGTTCCTCAGAGGCAATGAATCACGGCTCACAGATGTAAACTCCCCGAGAAGAGCTTTCATAAAACAAATTCTTCTGATATGAAACTGGCATGTCTGAGACTACTTAAGACTATGTGTCATAAATTACACTCACGGTTGGCTCACGAAGCCCTGTAAAGTATACATGCCCCACCAATCAGTGACAGTCTGTCCTCATTGCCAGTCTCATCATAAGTGAGGTCAATAATTTCCTCTGGGGAACACTTATGTATTAGGAGCTTCCCAGAGATAAGAAGCTCTGTGCAGAGATGTTTTTAACCTCTGAGCATCACTTGCACTCCCACCTGGGATCCTTTACTCCTGTCTGGAGTAAGAGCCTCCATTTATCTAGGAGGAAGCTGCCTCTTCCCAGGACTCAGGGGTGCTGCTCACTTTGGTCCCTAGCATGCAGTGCCTTGAATGGTACTCAGCTGGTACAGTCTCTGTCCTTGCTCCCCAGATAGACTGTAGGCCCTGCAAAGCCACGACTCTGTCTCATATCAGTGCTTCCCAAAAACAATCACCTGGAAATTTTTTTAAATTACAGATTCTGATTCAAGCCTGGGGTGGAGCTCGAGAGCCTGCATTTCTAACAAGCTCGGAGGTGATGTGCATGCTTCAAGTCCTGAGACCACACTTTAAACAGCAAGAACTTCTGTCTAGTTGAATCATCAGTAGTTGACACTGGGACTTACCCACAACGGCCACCGAATAAATACTGATGGTGAAGGGGATCAACTGTTGGCTCGTTGCAAATGGTGTTAGAAGAAGTCAAACTCAAGGCTCATAATTCAGATAAAGAAACTGCCAGAGTGGGTCAAACGTGACCTTGCTTGAATTATGAAAAACATTTTACTAGTTATGGAGTAATGCCACTGTAGATGATTTAATCAGTTATAAACATATTTAACTTAGTAAACCTTCAAAGCAGGAAAAAGAGACACACCAGGAATTACTATATTTCTCACCTGACATTATTTCAATCTTCAAGCAAAGTTAAGAGAAACTGAATCATGCTTCAGAGACAAGGTAATACAAATATGTTTAGAAAAACCTCAGGGAGAACAAGTTGGTGAAATATCTCTCCATCATTTCAGGAATAATTGGCTTGTACTCTGACACAAACCTATCCTATATTTAATATATTAGAAACATGTCAGTCTTCAGATATACTGTTTAAAAGAAAAGACGCAATCTAATCTGGGCACATATCTAAATCTGGATACATATGTGTTTGCTGTATGATTCCCTCTACTTTGATATGTTAAAGGTTTGGGGTTATGGTTCTGGCTGAAATGAAGTAAACACAGTCCACTCTGTGTCTCCCACTGAAACAAAATCTCAGGAAAGAATCCATGGAATGTACACCTACTATGTCACACAAATTTTAAATTAAAAAAATTTTTAAAAGAATGTATGGAACAGCTGAGGACTCTGTAAACAGTAACAGGTGGATTGGGGGAAAAAATCAGAGCTCAAAGTAAGAACAATCCCGCAGTGACTTTCCTGATTTTTTTTTCCTCCCATACCTTCCAACTTGGACCCAAGGCAGTGCAAATCATGGAACTGTGCCCTGGGCACACTCAGAAAGGTTTCCAAGAGAAGCTCTCTTGTTCTAAGGAGGAGAAGGGAGCCGCTATAGAACAGACAAAGTAGGAGAAATTCTCTGCTTCATTTTTCTCCACTGGCCCTGCCCCCTCCTCTGAGCCAAGCCCCACTCTCAAAGCTACAATTTGACAGTGGCAGGGTAGCAATAGTGGCTGGGCAAGCACCTTAAACTCTGACAGTGGAGAATCTTTCTCTCTGACCAGAGGAACTGTGGTCATAAAGCAGGGTGCAGGGAGAATCCGTGTCTCTTTTTTTCTCTCGTTACCCTCCCCTACTTGGTCCTGGAGGCAGACTTTTTTATAGGAAGTACACAGCAGAGCTGGGAGACTACAGCCTTGGCTTTCCAGCCAGATGACCAGGAAAAGAAGTCCGGGAGCTGGAAATGAAGGGGAGCTGATCATGGACAGAATGGAGCTTGAGAAAGGGATGGCATAAAGTTGTGTGTGTGCTCCTGGGTTTACCCCTGAGCTGTACACAGACAGACGCTAGACAGCATGACGAAGGCTTGGAGAACTGAGCTATGGAATACACACTACCTAGGTTGCAGACTGGTCCCTGGATGGTACACACATGGGACAGATCTGAATAGAACTACACAGGTTTTGAAAACCCTAAGTAAGGGCTGGGCACAGTGACTCATACCTGTAATCCCAGTACTTTGAGAGGTTAAGGTGGGAAAATTGCTTGCAGCCAGGAGTTCAGTAACAGCTTGGACAACATAACAAGACCCTGTCTCTACAAAAATAAAAAAATTAGCTGAGCGTGTTGGCACATGCCTATACTCCCTGCTACTCGGGAGGCTGAGGTGAGAATATCCCCTGAGCCCAGGAGCTCAAGTCTGCAGTGAGCTGTGGTCATGCCCCTGCATTCCAGCCTAGGCAACAGAGCGAGACCCTGTCTCGAAAAATAAAAATGAAAAAGAAAAGAAAAAGAAAACTGAAGTGACATTGGTGTCAAATGGTGTTGAAACAATTGATCAGGTCATCCATAGGCAAAAAAAGAAAAAGAACAGAGAGTCTCAGCCCTACTTTATTTCTACCTTATCTGTACTACAATTAACTCAAAGTGGACCATAGATGTTAATATAAAACACAAGGGTTTAAAAACTTTAGAAGAAAAATATGAGAAATCTCATGACCTTGAGTTAGGCAATCATTTTTAGATATAACACCAAAGCAGGATTCACTTTTTTTCAAATAGGTAAACTGTACTTCATCCAAATTAAAAACTTTTGCTCTTTGAAAAACACTGAAAAGATAGGGTACAGACTGTGAGAAATATTTGCACACCAAAAAGTATTTGCATCTAACAAAGGACTTGAATCCAGAATACATAAAGGATTCAACAGTAAGAAAACAAAAAATCCAATTTTTTTAAACGCTCAGAAGATTTTTGAACAAACACATCACCAAAGAAGATCTGCAAATGATAAATAACACATGAAAAGATGTTCAATGTCATTAGCTATTAGAGAAATGAAAATTAAAACCACAATGAGATGCCAACACACCTATTTGAATGGTTGAAATGAAGGGGGAGAAAATGACAATACCAGGTGCTGATGAGAATGTGGACAAGTAGAACGCCATTGCTGGTGGAAATGAAAATGGCATAGTCTGGTGTGTGCTGCGTTTTATGCCGCACGAGGGTTTAAAGACCTAAGAGGGAACAGCGGCGGGATAAAGAAATACACACAGACAGACACATAGAAAGCTGGGCCGGGGGGTTCTGAAAAGCCTGTGATTATAATTCTTACACTTCAGTTAACATACTTTAGCTAACAACTATTTTGCAGCAAGGTTAGTGAGAGCTGGTTATCTTTTTCTAGGCCTCTCTGTTTTTCTCTGAGACATACACATTTTCCTACTATGGTTTTACTTTTCTGGAGTTTACCCAAAGTTCACAGCAGCCTTGCTGCTGATCCCCCCACAGGGGGTGGGCTACTCTGGCTCTCTATACATAGTTGCTCTCAAAAACAGTCTGGCAGCTCCTTGTAAAAGTTACACATACACTTAGTATATGACCCAGTAATCTCACTCCTAGGTGTTTACACTAGAGAAATGAAAACTTGCGCTTACACAAATACTTATACATGAATGTCTATAGCAGCTGTATTTGTAATAATCACAATCTGGAAGAAAAAAAAACACCTTAATGTTCTTCAGTTGGTGAATGGATCAATAAATGATGGTACATCCATAAACTGGAATAATTGCAACAATAAAAAGGGAGAAGTTATTGATACATACAAAAATATGGATGAACTTCAGAGGCATTTCGCTGAGTAACAGAAGCCAGTCTCAAAAGGTCATTTATGTGGCATGCTCAGGAAGGCAAAACGACAGAGACAGAAAGCAGACCAGTGGTTGCTAGTGTGGGAGATGTTGGTTACAAAGAAGTGTCATGAGGGAATTTTTTGGGTGATGCAATTGTTGTGCATTTTGATTATTTATAGTCATACAAATTTGTACAAATATTTTTGTTTGTTTTTCTGAGACAGAGTCTCTCTATGTCTCCCAGGCTGAAGTGCAGTGGTACAATCTTGGCTCACTGCAGCCTCCATCTCCCAGGTTCAAGCAATTCTCCCACCTCAGCCTCCTGAGTAAATGGGATTATAGGCGCCCACCACCACATTTGGCTAATTTTTGTATTTTTAGTAGAGACGGGGTTTCACCATGTTGGCCAGGCTGGTCTTGAACTCCTGACCTCAAATGATCCACCTGCCTCAGCCTCCCACAGTGCTGGGATTACAGGCATGAGTCATAGCACCTGGCCACACACAGTGTTAAAAACTCATAGAATTGCATACCAAAAAGGAAAGTTAATTATAAAGTGTATTAATCCAAAATTAAAGTAAAATAAAAGGATACTGTATCAAGTTTTCAATGTAGAAATAAGAATACACTTGGATAATCTTGCCTATTAACCAATGTGTCTTTTGTAGGCTAATATTGCAAATCCTAAAATATATGTTCCTTAATTACTACAGCCATTAATACAACTAGTTACACTCACAGTCAGAGTTCTTTCAGTGCCAATTTTTAATTCTGGTTTGCCAATGTAACAAACTACTTGCCCACCAATACTAGTGCAATAAACTAGAAAGGGGTGTGCCCCAATGGTGACACAAAGAGAAACTCTCATCACTGTCGAGTCTAGGTGTTGTGAATGACTGCCAACAAGACCAACAAGGTGACCAATTGGTATTATGACCTTAACCACTTGTCTTCCAGAAATGTACAAGGTACATACTAAACCCAGACCTTGTGAGATAGGAAGGTAAAGCAATGCTGAACATTATCCTCCAAGAAGTCACAGTCCAGAAAGAAAAGAGAATACCTCTGTGGGAATCTTCCGAACAGTTTAAGAATCATGGTCCTTTGTATTAAGAGCCAAGAACTTTAGAGCAATGCTATCATCTTGTTCCGCAACGTGAGATGATGAACAGGATGTCGGGTCTCTTCTGTTGGTTTCCTTGTGCCATGGTACAGTATTAAATGAAGGTGGGAAAAGTAGGTGAAAAATCCTCGGTGTGGGTTTTGAAATCTAAGCAGATAAATAGTTACGCTAACAGCATGGTCTCTGGAATCAGACAGGCTAGGTCCAAATCCTGCCTCTACCCTTCTTAGACATAATTTTTTGGGCAGGATATATTTAATCTCTCTGTCTCAGATCCTCATCTGTAAATGAGTTACTGTAATAATACTTTTCTTAGAGGGGGAGGATTATTATCAAAGTTTTCTAACTTGTGCCTGGCACCTAGTACCTGTTTAATAAGCCTTATTTATGATCAGAGAGTTCATAGGGCAAAGTCAATATTTAATGTCTCTGAGGCCAGTTAGCTTCTTCCACATCCCAGATTATACTCTGGACAATGATATTCTTTTTACAGATGCATACTATTGGCCATAGGGTCAAAATGAGAAAAATAAGCAAAACCCCAAGTCCCATAAGTAACGGGTAAACAATTTAGTTCCCAAATTCAAAGAGCAGATATGTATATATTCTCTAAAGAGACCTTTCTAAAATGAGCACTCCCAATTAAAATATTTTGTGTGTATGTGAAGAAAAGATGTCTGGAGTGATCAGATTCTCCCTGTCCATTGGTTATGCTCCAACTTGTCCTACTCAATAAAGATGAGCTTACCTTATCAGCAACATCCACCCTGGCCTTGTGTTTAAGCAAGAAATCCACTGCAGATAAATGATTTCTCCCCACTGCAAAATGCAGGGCTGTGCGGTTCATCTGCAGAAGCATAATTTATGTTTTTAGTCATCTGATCATTATTTAGCCTTTTTAGGTTTCCTGTTTCTTGAATGGCTATATTTTTCTATCCAGTGTTTCTATTTTGATAGTTTGGCTCCACTCTTTACCTTTGAAAGTTATGAGAAGTGTGTCCAGCAGAATTCTGCCTTCATTATGAGATAACATCAGAGAATTTGCCAATCCACTGAAGAACACACCTCAAGCTAAAATTCTTGTTTCAGCTTATATTGTATTATATTGTAACATTATGTTGTAGCAATATAAGGGGTTTTGCCTAGAAAGTAAAAGTTGGATTCCATCCTTATGCAGTCATTAATAATGGTAAAAGTTTCTGCTTAGAATATATTAATAATGCATAGCAAAAATTTACCTAGAGGTTCAATCCATTCATGTTCGTTCTTCTGTAAGTGTTTGGACTGTAAATTTTACTGAAGCAAATAAATTCCTTCTAAAAGGAAGAAGGAAGGGAGGAAGGAATAAAAGGAGCAAGGAAAGGAGGAAGGAAAGTAAGACAGAGAAAGGCAGAGAAAGAAAGCTATGACTATCTTTTGCTCCAAAGAAAAGTCAACATGGTGCTCCTGGGATGCCCACAGACAGTCTAATCCATTTCAGAAAATGGAAGTTTTGCTTGGAAGTGATATGTGTCACATTTCTCATATTTTAGGCACTGTTTTTGCTCCCAAAGAAGATGTCTGGTCATGGTTTTACTATTCTTTGTTACACATAAGTAATTTTAAAAAATGAGAACTGATTAAATATTTGACTTTTTTGGTACTGTCTACCTAAATAATAAGAGAGGCTTTCAAAAGAAAAGATATTTATTTGGGAATAAAGCATTGCAACAGAAATATGCATATAATAGCAAACTATGTGTGTATTTAGAAGAGTAAAAGAAGACAAAGCTTTTTAAAGGAAAAAATAAGGAGGATTACATAATTGTTTTGAAATAATTATCCTTTGCTACAAAGTTTAACAACCAGCTGACGCCAGTCTGAGATTAGAAAGGCAGTTGCTGGGCAGATGTCCTTGCAGAAGTATTTTTTGTGCAAGGCTGTGATGACCTTTGTGCAAGGTTGTGGGTTTGCAGTCTTTTGTGATAGTTTTTGTTATCAAGTATACAAGCATGAGAACTCTGTCTTCATGGCCTTCCTCAGCTCTGTTTGTCAAGGTTTTCTTAATATTGGTGACCCCATTTTGATTCTGAAAACTTTTACAATAGCTAACTCAGTGATAAAATAAGTTTGACAAAACATGAGTTATGGCTGGGCATGGTGGCTCACGCCTGTAATCCCAGCACTTTGGGAGGCCGAGGTGGGCAGATCACCTGAGGTCAGGAGTTTGAGACCAGCCTGGCCAACATGGTGAAACCCCGTAACTAGTATAAATACAAAAATTAGCCAGGCATGGTGGCACACATCTGTAATCCCAGTTACTAGGGAGGCTGAGGCAGGAGAATTGCTTGAACCTGGGAGGTGGAGGTTGCAGGGTGCCAAGATTTCACAATAGCACTCCAGCCTGGGCAGCAGAGCAAGACTCTGTCTCAAAAAACAAAACAAAACAAACAAAAAAAAAACCCATGAGTTACACGGCTCCATTATGTCAACTTTGGGCTTATAAGCTCCACTATTAACTTTATTTGTGAATAAGGATGTAAGCCAGAATTTCACCCAAAATAATTCAGTAAAATTATTTATATTTAAAAAATCTCCATCATCACGGATTTTAAGGAACTCTACAAGTAACCATGTCAACAATTTTCTGTAAACAGTAAACAGGTATCATTAGAAAGTATAATACAATTCATTAGTTCATAATAATTTGCCACACTGTAAGTTAAAGTGTATTAGATTGTACTATCTCTCCAAGTACTTTAATCAACTTTTAAAAATGTTTAAAATAACAGAAAGTTGTATATGGAAAAATGTTAAATGGTTTAAATAATATACTGGAGAATCTATTTCCTGCTACATGGAAAAGTGATTTTTGCTTCACTTACTCCCACAATTAACCTTCCATGGTCACAATAATCTTCAAAGATATCTATCCATAAAAATTTTTGAAACTATGCAAATATTCCCTTCAAAGAGACTTACTTACTTCTTTTGTTTTCCCTCCTTTGCATTTTTTCTTTTTGCCCTTCCTTGCTTTCTTGATTTGTTTTTCTTTTTGTACCTAAAATTGTTATGCTACAAAATTTTGCTGTTTTCCTATTCTAGGATATCTATGGAACATGAACACTATATACACCCATAACACATCACACACACGCATTATACACACAGAAATAGCAGTCCCCACACTCATCCCCACACATAAGCACAAACCGCCCCGCACATGCACAACATTCTTCCACTGCACATGCTACGTGATTTCAGATTCTGCAGCTTCAGTTTCTAGGGCCTCACTGCCTGGGACAGAGATAAGTTTTGTGGAACCTGAGTTTAGACTATTTAGGAGTCCTCTTTAAAGCCAGAGTCAGAAAGCTTAACTAATTGCAGTTAAAATGCCCTACCTTTTTCAGATTTTACAAACTTACATAGTCATAGGAACATATTACTAGAGTCCTCTCAGTGCCTTACAAGGGGACTGTGCAAGCAAGGGCCTTGAAGCTTATGCTTCATTTACCATTAAATCCACCTCTGCCACACCCACCTTGAACCACTCCACAAATTGTCCTAAGCAATTGACACAGCCTTCAACCTTCACTTTGATAAACCTGGCCTCAAAGGACTATCAGGAAATCCTCACAAAAGCAAGTAGCAGAGAATCCAAATTTATGGCAGTGGACTTTCCCTCCGCTAAAACCCAGGCACTTAAAGAACAAGTAAGAGCCACGTTTTAGATAAGGTCTCATTGTCCAAGAGGTAGATACACTACATTTCAAAACCAGTACAATGAAAATCCACACACGCCTTTAGATTTTAAATTTGGAGAAACAGAACCACAAAGGACATCATTGGCAAGAAAACAACCCAGATTATATAGCAAAAAATGTTCTGCCTTTCCAGAATGTGTGAGGCCAAACCGATCCACAGGCGACAATCCAGGACTGAGTCCAGGCCCGTAACCCTGACAGCTGGCTTTACTGCCCACCCACAGACTTTGCAGAGATATGCATGAAGATTCTGTGCACTCCCCCTCTTGTAAGAGGAATCAAAACACCCAGAGCCTCTTCCACTGTTTGACTCCACTTTTTAGCTTAAACACCCCGGAAGATCTCCCTTATCTCAGCCAGCACCATGATTTTTATTTTTATTACTATTTCAGGTGTCCCATGTAACCCAAGCCATCACTGGGGTAGTCACTTGCCATATTTATGACTTCTACCCGCATTGTTCACAGCATTAATGTTAACCTTCTTTTCAAACAGCTTCTCCGTAAGATCCAAATTATTGCTTTTAGCAGCATTCTGAAAGCTTCTTTCATTTGGCAGTACTGAAAGCAAGCAAGCAAGCAGGACTGAGGGAATTGAAGGAGGCCAAAGAGAAAGCATATTTCATAGGGCAACAACAGCCTTGAGTCTTTCGCATTTTGCTATTTCATTTAGGACATGGGAACTTTGCTTCAGTATCTTATAAAACTGCAGTATCGAGATTCCACATTCTCCTCATGCTGCAAGGGTTTCCACACCCTTAAAAATGTTCCTGGCCCCAAACAAAACATTATTCATGAGGACCACCCTGAAGTCAGCATTGTGGTATCTGGCTTAGAAGGTAAGCAGGTGGCCATAGACTTCCCAGGGGGCATTGTTTGTAAAAAGCCTTGTACAAGATTAGACGGGGAGGGGCCCAAATGCTCCATACAGCTTACAGAGATAAAACTGTTGTCTTCTGAACTCCATACAGACATCAGGCCTGCATGAACAAAATTTCAAAATGCAGCCCGTCATACACACAGACACAAAGGTAAATGGGATGAGAATGTTTTATTCTCATTTATATAAAAAGACATAAAAGTAGATTCACATCTACTATAAACATCACATTTCACACACATATACACATTCAGATGGTAGGCTTTATTAACTATCATAGAGAAATTACAGGATTTGAGTTTTTTGTTATGTAGGGGAGTAGAGGGCTCTCAGAGGACCGCCCAGCATCAGGGGATAAGACCAGAATTGAGGATAAGTAGGAGTCAACCACAGACCATCTCCAAAAAGAGAGGTTTTTGTAGATGGGTTGCTGCTGAGTAGTTTCCCAAGGGTTTGTTTGTTTTTTAAATGATACTATCATGACATTCAATGTTCCCCAAATTTTTGCTGAAGCAAAGACCCTTCAGAATACTGCCAAGTCCAATCAAAGACCAAGGAGTATCTTCTTGGGAAATATTGTCATGGGCTGAATTGTGTTTCTCCAAAATTCTTATGTTGAAGTCCTAACCCCAAGTGAGAGGGCAGACCCCTCCCCTGCTTGCTCCTGCTCACGCTGCATATGAACTAGCAAATCAATGAAGCCAAAAGATTGTAAGGTCAGATGTCCAGCCAATGGACAATGATATAGTTTCACCTCAGTTTCTCCTTTAGCATTGTAAGCCTATAAAAGGAGAAAGAAGCTGCTTTTCAGGGAGCTCGGTAAATGAGGCTGTAGTCCCCCCACAGCTCCCAGCCGAATAAAAAGCCACTTCTTTCCCCAGTTGGGTGTTCAAAAGGTTTGTGTCTCACTTTTCCTGCTTCATGAGTACCTCAGAATGTTGCCTATATTTGGAGATAAAGCCTTTAAAGAGGTAATTAAGGTTAAATGAGGTGATGCGACGGGGCTCCAATCTGATATGATTGGCGTCCCTATAAGAAGAGAGATTAGGACACACACACACACACACACACGCACACGCACACGCACACGCACACACACAGAGGGAAGGCCGTGTGAAAGTAGGGAGAAGATGGCCATCTACAAGCCAAGGAGAGAGGCCTAAGAAGAAATCAAGTTTCCCAACATCTTGATCTTGGACTTACAGCCCCCACAACTGTGAGAAAATAAGTGTCTGTGGTTTGAGCCATCCAGTCTGCTGTACTTTGTCATGGCAGCCTGAGCAGACTCATATAGATTCACATGTTCATTCTTTCTATTACTTGGATCGTTTTCTTCCTTCCTACCCCCACTCTTGTCACTATTCTAGGTGACTTCAACCTCCTCATAGATGATTAATCCAACACCTTTGCCTCTTAGTTTCCTGACTCTGTCACCTCTAATCATCTTCCCCAGATCTGACCTCAGCCATCCAATTTCAGAGGCACATTCCTGAACTAATCATCACTCAAACGGCACTACTTCTGAAATCTTGACTTCCAGAATCCTATTCTTTGACCACAACTTCTCATCCATTCAGCTCAGCTGCTCCAGTTCTCCAAGTCCAGAAATTCTGCAACCTTATTAAGTTCTCCAATCCACAGTTCTAACCCCTTTTTCATATTCTTCATCCCTATATCCTTATTTCTCTCCTTACCATGTTTACAGTCCATGGTGCCAGACTGTTTTTGCTGCTATAACAAAATACCTGACTCTGAGTAATTTAAAAAGAACAGAGATTTACTTCACACATTCAGACCATACCACATGGTCCATCTATGAAATCACTTCTATGCAAACGCTTACCTCCCTCACCAATCTTTTCCTCCATTAGACTAGTTGGTCAGGATCCTAATTCTGAGACCAAATCCAACTGCTACTTGCTTTATTTCTGTATCTGAACAGCTAAATGGTACTGAAGAAAAACACACAGCGATGCTATGGTAGACATTGCTAGTGTTCATCAATATCTGCTTCTTCTCTTCTACCTGGTCACATGGGTAAGCCCATATCCCAGCCTGGATACAGCTAGATGAGATCTATCCAATGGACTAAAAGCAGAAGTGATGGCATGTCACTTTGAGGCTGAGTCAGTGAAAAGCCTGTGTCACCCTCCAGGTCTCTTTCTCTTGCCTTAACCCTGGAAGTCACGTGTATAAATGAAGGAGGTCACAAGATAGTGGTACCTTCATCAACTTGGTATTTATTGGGAGACAGTTCTCCCTGGGTCTGTCACATTTCTTCACATCTTCTAAGCAAAAGCATTGACTGGCTTTGTTCTTTACTATCTTTTCAAGGATGTTTGTATAGTGAAAAGCCTTTGAAAATAGAGATAATATCTTCCTCTGGAGCAAAGGGCAGGTCTGCTTGCAGCCTTTGAAGAAAGCAATGATAAGCATGCTTACTGACTATTACAAAAGTTTTGGGTTCCGTAAGTGCAGGATTGTTCTGTAACACAACCCACTGTGTGTGCAAGTGTCATTGGGCATTCCTTACATCTCCCTGTAGAAATTGGGGCTTGGAGAACTAAGACAAATGCTAACACTGGCTACTGCTACTGCTGTGAGTAATGAAATCCATCATCTCTAATCCAAAAGTGTCTTCTGCCAGCATCTCTATCACCTAGTAAGCTAACTTGTGATATTACAAGGAGGGTAAAATCTCAGTCCCTTTGTGACCCTTGACACCTGGGTTCCTGAGAGACTAAGAATATGAGAGACCCTCTCCAGCCTATTTTGGACATGCTACACAAGCAAGAAATATATATATATTTTTTTTAATGTAGAGATTTAAAAGGATCGCTGGCCTCAAGTGATCCTCCCACCTGGGCCTCCCCAGAGTGCTGGGATTACAGGTGTGAAACACCACATCTGGGCAGAAATAGATTGTTTTTATGTTCAGTCACTGAAACGTAGGAGTCATTTATTGCTGCAGGAAAAGCTTACTTTGTCCTGACAGATACACATGCTAACAGGTCTCCTAAATTCTTCCCGACTAATCTCAGCACTGCTAGCTAGCCTCTACATTTCCCTAGTCTTCCCTTCCTCAGCATGTCACATCCTTTCCTTTCTCCTCAAATATCTGAATTTGCTAATCTACCTGATTTACTTCCTCCCACTACCATCACCTAATTCTCAGTTACTACTACTGCCTCATAGTGAAAACAGAAGTAATAGGACACAAATTCCCACATCTTCCCACCTAGGCGAGTCTACCAACTTACCTTCATTTATACAGACAGGATGAAGCATCCCTGTGCCTAGGAAAGGCCAACCTCTACGCTTGGGCTCTGGATCCCTGCCCCTCTTATCTTTTCAAGTGTTTCATATGTCAATCTCCTGGAAATTATCTCTTCTTTCCTCTAGATCACTTAATCTCTCTCCAGTGGATCACTCCCCTCAAAAAATATGGAGTTGCCATAATCCCGTAAGTGTAAAAAACCCTCCCTTGACCCCGGCTTCCTTTCCAACTGCTGCTGCATTTTTCAACTTTCCATTACCCCAAACTTAAGTACTCTATAATTGTTGTCTCCATTTCGTCATCTCACAGTCTTGTCTCAACCCACGCTAATCAGACATCTTTCTCATCCCTCCACTGAAACTGCTCTCACTGAGGTCACTCCGTCTTGCCAAAACCCAGTCATCACGCCTCTGTCACGTGCATTGAGCTTTTGGCAATTGGGACGCAAAGGAACACTCCTTGTCACATGTTCTTCTCTAGTGGTCTGGTAAACCACTCGTTGCTTTAGAGTCCTTTTTTATTGGCTCTTTTTCCTTTGCTTGACCTCCAAATATTAGAATGCCCTAGGTTTTATATAAAACAAATGACCTGACGATGCAGGCATGAGTCCCTTCATCTTACAGATGAGGAAACTGCGATCTTCAAAATTTACACCACTTGCTCATGCTTTGTAAGTGATAGAACTGTCCCAGGCAGCCTGAGTCCAACCACATCACCCTGTCTCATGGCCTTCACAGCACTTACTATTACCTTAAATTACCTTATTCATTTATTTCTATACTTATTTTATTGTCTATCACCCCTCCACCACAACAGAATGTTCCACCAGAACAGGGGTTGTCTTTTTCTCTCCATGCCTACATCTAGAACATGCCTAGCAAATAGTTAAGCCCTTGAAAATATTCCTAGAACGATTGAATGAACATTATATTGAGGAATTGGTGTACAGCTTCCAAGCCTGGTTTAGGAAATAAGGCCATCCAGCTATCAGACTTGGATGGTGTGCCCCGTCTAGAGACTTGAGTCCTGGGAAGGTTGAGGTGGCAGAATCACCTGAGCATGAGGAGATCTGTGATCGCACTACTGCATTCCAGCCTGTGCAACACAGCAAGACCCTGCTGGGGAAGGGTGGGGGGTGGTGGTGGGGGAGGGAGTGGGGAGAGAAAGAGGCTTGAATCACTTTCAACTTTTAAACTGTTTAACAGCTGCCTCAATTTATTCTATACATTATTCCCAAGGCATAGATGATCCACTCCATGCTTTAAGAACTTAAGTGCAGAAAAGTTAAGTGACTTATTTAAAGTCAGACAATAAATCGGCGCATAGTCACGATATAGGAGATAAGAGCACGGAAACTCTTATCTGCAAAAGGACTTAATCGTTATTTTTAAAAGCCTCCTCCTTAATTCGGAAGAATAACACTGTCCTTCAACCCACAGTACATGGTAGGGGTGGATTCCAAAGCTGAAAACCAGCCAACCAGGAATGCAGCGGTGGAGGCTGGGACTCGGGGTCCCAGGGAGGAGTCGCTCCCGCGGCGACCGGAGGCACTGCACTGGGTACCTTCCCAAGTCCCTTCGAACCAGCCCGCCCAGCAGCCTGATTTTCTGAGACCTCGTCCCGGGACTCACGGAGCTCGTGTCCGGCAACTGCCGGGTCCTCCTCTCCAAGCCCCTCTCGCTTCGGGATGCGGGACCGGCCCCTCTCGCTTCGGGATGCGGGACCGGCCCCTCCAAGGCAGGGCGGTCGCGCCCCTCAGGTCTTCCCTGAGCCCCTTGGCGGCCGCAGCCGCCCGGAGCAGCAGTCCCCTCGCCGTGGCCCCGTGGCCCCGGGTGCGGCCGGCGGCGTCCATGGTCGCCTCTGCGGACTCGTTGCGCGGGACCAGACCCAGACTCAGACTCAGGCCCAGGGCGCGGGGCTGGACGCAGGCAGGTGAGCCCGGCCGAAGCACAGGATCGAGTTCACTCTGTTGTGATTCGCTGAATAACAAGCCCCTGGTTCCCTGTCCTGGCTTGGGCCGGCCTGGGAGAATCCGCCCTCAGGTGCGGCGTGCACTGTGCTAAATTTGGTTCTCCAGGAAATAAAACGGCCTGAGAAATTTACAAGCTCCAATAAACTCCCAGCTCTGCTCTACCACTTCTTTCTACAATTTTGAGAAATGTCAAGGTTGAATTTATAACCAACACTATTGGAACTTCAATATTAAATCATTTCGAAATGGACTTCCAACATTTTCTTTCGACTAAATTTCTCATTTGAAGACCATGCAATTATATAATCTTTCCTGGCGGATTCTTTTGAAAAGTGAAATAATACAGAAGCAAATGAAATTCTGACCCCTCCCCCAAATAAACTTCAAATAAGAAAATCAGATTTTCACTTATTTTGTATTCTTACAAATTTACAAAAGAGGTATCATTTTAATGTAAATTATCTAATACGAATGTTCATTTCAAACTTGGCAGTTTTTTCCTTCAAATTACTGTGCACCACATTTGAGGCATTAAATTCAAAACAATGTTTCCTTATCAATGTAAAAACAAACATGACAAAATATTATTTATTGTAACAGAACACCACCCGTAACCTCAAACGTTCCCTTTATAAAAAAGTGAAATGGGCCTAACGTTTTTAATAGGGACATGATAAAAACAATAGCAGATACATTGAATTGAATATTATGCAGAAATATCAGACAATGTACTAATATGGAAAGTATAATATGTAAGTGGAAGAACAAGTCACAAATTATATGTTTGTGTAGCATGTTTACAACTAAAATTCTAAAAATCAGAATACCCACACAAAAGAAGGAATAATAGTGAAAACAGCACCAGACCAATGGAAGGCATACAGTTAAGTACAGAAAGATCTCCCAGTCTGGGCAACGAAGTGAGACCCCCCCCCCAAACCCACTACAAACAATACAAAAGTTAGCCAGGCATGGTGGTGCATGCCTGTAGTCCCAGCTACTCGGGAGGCTGAGGTGAAAGGATGGCTTCAGCCTGGGAGGCAGAGGTTGCAATGAGCCAAGATTGTGCCACTGCGCACCAGTCTGGGTGACAGAGCCAGACCCTATCAAAAAAAAAAAAAAAAAAATCTGATTGTGTTATCCAAGTTTGAAATTGTTTTCAAATTCTAAACCAAGAAATTCACTTAAAAAAAATCCTCTTATCAATGACAGGAGAAAATGCATCATCATTTTATGTTATATAGCTTTATAATACGACATGGTACTTAACCTACTCTAACAGATGAGATGAAAACCTCAAAGCAGTGCATTATGTGAAACTTAACCGTAGCTGGACTTAATTTCCCTGAGATCTTGGGCTAGATGAAAAGCTGTGAAGTATACTGTGGGAGATATTTTCTTTTTCACTCTGTTTCAAATATCAGGTTAGTTCTCAAGTAGAAGATTAATTCTAAGTATGCTAAAACATAAAAGTTTGCTCACATGATCTGGCCCTACTCATCTCTATGATCTTGGGCCCTACAATTCTCCATCCTTCATCCAGTGTTTCCTGGTTGAAGCCATCCAGCTTCTATTTCCCTTTGCCTAGAACCTCTCTCCCCCACCTTCACTTCCAAATTTTTTGAATAGTTTGATCCTTCGTATCATTAATGTTTCAGGTTAAATGTCACTTGCCCAGAAGAGACTTCCCAGATCATCCTATTCTAAAAGCCTCCCCTACCTTCATGTCCCATTCCCTTACACTGCTATCTCTTTCCTTTTAGCACTTACCACTGAAATGTCTGTTTAGTGCCTGTTTCCCCAACTAGAATGTAAACTTCATGAATACAGTGATTTTTAAAAGTTTGTTGGCCAGGCATGATGGCTCATGCTTGTTAGCCCAGCAATTTGAGAGGCCAAGGTGGGAGGATGGCTTGAGGAAGGGAGTTCAAGAGCAACTTGGGCAACGTAGACTCCCATCTCCACAAAAAAATTTAAAAATTAGCTAGGAGTGGTGGTGCACACCTGTAGTCTTAGCTACTTGGGAAGATGAGATGGAAGGATGGCCTGAGCCAAGGAGGTCAAGGCTGCAGTGAGCTGTGATCATCATGTCACTGCACTCCAAACTTGGTGACAGAGCAAGGCTCTGTCTCAAAAAAAAAAAAAAAAAGTTTCTTATTGCATCTCCAGTGGCTAAAACAGTACCAGACTTGCAATAAGTACTTGTCAAATAAATATGTAATGCAATTTAGCCATGTGAACAGTAACTTGTCTTCAAGTCCTGAAAGCTTTAGTTTCTCCCCTAAAGGAAGGTCTAGACTAAACAAATACGTTCAATTCTAAAGTAAACCTTTAAATCCAGGTCCTGTTCAAGGATTCCATATTTTTAAAAAAACATCTTCCTAGATTTCTCGTTGTCCTCCTCTACCAGATGATTTCTCTCTAGATTCCCACTTTGTATATTCACTGATTATAGCCCTCCCTAACTGAATGGAAACTTCCTGGATTGGCTCTCCATTTTTTTTAGGACAAACATGTCTTAATAATCTTTATGTCCTATATCAGCTAGGATTTAGCTATAATTAATAGGAAAACCCAAATAACTATGGCTTAAACAAAGTTTTTGTTTGTTTCTTGTGAAAGTCTGAAAGTGTGCAGGCCAGTGCTGATAGGATGTCTGTTTTACAAAGCCCCCAGGAATCAGCCCCTGCAGCCCTCTACCCCGCCATCCACATGTGCAACCCTTATGCTCAGGTGTAAATGGTAGCTTCTGCTTCCAGGCAGCAGGATGGAACAGAGAAATAGAAAGAAGAGGCAAAGAGGCATTAAATTCAAAACAATGTTTCCTTATCAATGAAAAAACAAACATGACAAAATATTATTTATTGTAACAGAACACCACCCGTAACCTCAAACTTTCCTTTACAGCTGCCAGAAAGGAAGGTTCCCAGAAGCAACCACACATAGTACTTCTGTTTTTTTTGAGATAAGTTTTCGCTTTGTCACCCAGGCTGGAGTGCAGTGGCGCAATCTTAGCTCACTGCAACCTCCACCTGCCCTATTCAAGTGATTTTCTTGCCTCAGCCTCCTTAGTAGCTGGGATCACAGGTGTGTGCCACTATGCCCAGTGACTTTTTGTATTTACTTAGTAGAGACAGGGTTTCGCCTTCTTGGCCAGGCTGGTCTTGAACTCCTGACCTCAGGTGATCCACCACCTTGGGCTTCCAAAGTGCTGAGATTACAGGCATGAGTCATCACACCTGGCCAGTACTTCCTTTTATATTCCATTAGTCAAAACTCAGTCACATGGCTAACCCTAGATGGGAGGGTGTGAGCTGGAAGGATGGGAGATACACTGTAGTCATCAATTCTGTAACACCCACTTTTCATATTATCACATCTCTTTAATTGAGATACTAAATTGTCTCCCTGAAGTTGAGTTCTGCCAGAGAGGATTTGCATATGCTTCTGTCAGTCACTAGGGACAATACTTTAATTACATTTTCTGCTCGAGCTCTTTAGGATCATACCATTTGTATGAATTCAGATTACAAGCCTACATGTGTACCGGTTTGTGGTTTAAATTCTCACTGGCAGTTCCTCCTTCCAACCAGTGCCAAGGTTGAGCATGCCAAGTTGCTTTGCTCCCTTCTTCTTTACCCTTGCTCTTAAGGTAGAAACTTTGGTGTCCCATATTTATGCAGTGGTAACCTATTAGACTCCCTATCTTAGGTATTATTTCTTAGTGGTTTATAAAATAAAGAATTGATGAAATACAGTAGTCTATTCTGGGTGATCATGTGCCTAGCTAAAATTCTAATAATATAACCGAAAAGTAGAATGTTGAAGGACAATCAGAATCTCTGCCCAGAACTGCTAGTAAAAAACAAAAAACCTTGGCGCATCTCACACTTGAGACGGTTTCAGAGGTCACATTTGAAGTTTAGCATATTCTAGGAGAGAAAAAACTTTTGAGCCTTCATAAAAGTAGATTTGATTCCAGAACTGACCCACCTTTTTTCCCCCTTTTTGTCTCCAATTTAGGGAATCTCTTTCTCCCTCTCTCCACATACACCCAACAGTATGAGTGATATTAGGAAAGTATTGTCTGTAAAAATGCACAAGATGATCTAGAGCAGGGAAAGAAACTAGCAAAAGTTAAGCTATGAGTTAGAAGGCCAGATATTAGACAACTGTTAAGAACCTGATAAAAGAAATGGAAAGAAGTGTTTTCAAGAGGTCCTACAAGAGTAGACAGAACTGAATGATAGCCATGTGGTTAGCAGAGGTAGTATGTGTGTGTGTGTATACAGGAACGAGTTTGAAATAATACTACACTTTAGAAACTGAACTTAGAAGAAAAGGGTTAGTGCCATTTGTCTCTCAATTATCTTTTATCTCCCTGAGCATTCTGTACACAGCAGCAGTTACAAAATAAGAGTGTCGCAATTACCTCATACTGGTAAGGGGAACAGTTCAATATTATGGTTTGCTTAATAAATGGAATCGTGTTTCCAATACTCACCATAATGTCATTTGAGTTTTTCTTAATTCAGCTATGTATCACAAAGCAAAAGTGATTAGTCCTTAATTATACAATGAAAGAACAGTTTTTGCTCCAGGGAAATAAACATCACCTCTCTGTGAAGTTCACTAAAATCCTACCAACACGAAGTGTGTTCAAATATATTGCTGCTTTTCAAAATGGAACATTACTTCAAAGAAAATTCAGTACCAGGGCCAGGCGTGGTGGCTCACGCCTGTAATCCCAAAGCTTTGGGAGGCTGAGGAAGGAGGATTGCTTGAAGCCAGAAGTTCAAGAACAATCTAGGCCACATAGCAAGATCCTATCTCTATAAAAAAATTAGCTGGGCATCGTGGCAACAGCCTGCAGTCCCAGCTACTTGGGAGGCTGAGATGAGAGGACCGTGTGAGACCAAGAGTTCCAGGCTGCAGTGAGTTATGATCATGATACTGCATTCCAGCCTGGATGACAGCAAGACCTTTTCTCTAAAAACAACAGTTCAGCACTAGCTACACCAGGTATGATTTTTTAAATGGAATATTTCCTCAAAAAATAGTTTTTTTTTTTTTTCAAAAAAGTTTTTTTTAGCTCCAGGTTAATAGTCATATTTTAAGCCTTCTTCCAGATACTTCCAAGCCACTCCAAAAGGACA